TCTAAGTCTGGTCTAACAGTCTGAGGAATGGTCTAAGTCTGGTCTAACAGTCTGAGGGATGGTCCAAGTCTGGTCTAACAGTCTGATGGGATGATCCAAGTCTGGTCTAACAGTCTGAGGGATGATCCAAGTCTGGTCTAACAGTCTGAGGAATGGTCTAAGTCTGGTCTAACAGTCTGAGGGATGGTCCAAGTCTGGTCTAACAGTCTGAGGAATGGTCTTAGTCTGGTCTAACAGTCTGATGGGATGGTCCAAGTCTGGTCTAACAGTCTGAGGGATGGTCCAAGTCTGGTCTAACAGTCTGACGGGAAGGTACAAGTATGGGATCTAACAGTCTGAGGGAAGGTCTAAGTCTTGTCTAACAGTCTGATGAGGTACAAGTATGGGGTCTAACAGTCTGATGGAAAGGTACAAGTATGGGGTCTAACATTCTGATGGGAAGGTCCAAGTCTGGTCTAACAGTCTTATGAAAGAATAACACAGCCTTTAGTGTTCTTAAAATAGTCAGTAATTTCTTGTTAATAATTTCTTTATTGTACAAAAATCTATTCCTGCCAATTTGGAACTCTGTTATCTGCAGTCTGTATCTATCTTTGGAGTTCACTAGCTAGAGAAACAGAAAACAGATTTTTTTTCCTTGTGCTCGTTTCCAAAAGTCAGTTTCACATTTAAAAACCAAAATAATTGAGTCTGGGGGGGAAAAAAGAGGGAAAAAAAGACGATTACAAGACTCAAAATTGAACAAGCTACATTAAACACTGACTTAATTGCTAATACTCTTTTGGTGAGTGCTTGTTTAAGCGCTTGACTTGTCTCTCACTATAATTTGACACTAAAGAACATTTTGTTATGAATTGAAAATAGAAACAGTGAATGCTTGGGTACAGGATGAAAAAAACCAAAAAACTTTGATTATATAATATGTTATTATTACTACAAAGTTTTTAAATGAAATTGCAGGAGGACATCTAATCCAAACTAGGTGTGATTTAATCTCGTGTGTGTGTGTGTGTAGAGTAGAGAGTAAGCCAGTACAGGTAAAAAACACTGTAATCCTCGTGGATTGGAAGTCTGCAGCCACAAAATGCACTTGCTCTTGGCTGTTGTTGCAGTATGCTGGGTTTAACATGTTTGTATGATGGAGCCAGTTGATGTTAATGTTTTCTTGGTCAAACTAAACAGCTGTTACCGAGGCAATATTTATCCCAGATCCTGGTGAAGTTAGCCGTAGTTTGGGGTATAAAAACCATCCCCACACTCCCCCATCCTTACCCACACCCAGACACTGGCTAGTCATTATAGGTGCAGAAAGGAACTTCATGTGTATCAATTATCACTATGTCCTCTTCTGTAGCTCACTGTCCATCAGTTCATAACTATCTACATTATTTAAAAAAAATTATATTGAGATGATCCTTTTTTGCTATGTTAATACCTTTTGAGATGACCCCCTTTATTGGTATATTAGTACCACCATCAATTTGAAAGGGATGGTATTACATGTTCTGTTCATCCCGACTTTCTATGAATCATTTGAGTGATTTGGACCGTTGACCCCCCAAGTACAGTATGAACCTTCTAACCTAACGTACCGTATTCATTCTTATAATGGCAATGTTGTAAGCAGAATATAGTGATCAGGAATGCAGTTTAGAAAAAACAAAAACTTTGACTAAATGCCTCATTAATTTACCAAGAATCTCATACTTGATTTAATATATAGAATTATAGAGGCAGAAGCATTTTCTACCAAAAGTTTATTACTTTTTCAAAAAAATATAGGACCAGGGATATTTACATGTAATCTAATGGAAGTCTGTACATGTAATACATTTCTGAGTGCATAGGACCAGGAATTGATACTTGTGATTTATCGGAAGTCTTTAAGACATTGTTCATTGTTCAGATTTCTGGCATTATTGCACGATTAGATAATTTCTGTTGCAGATGTTTCCCGAATCAGATAAGGCAGTAATATGAGTGGCTGCTGCAAAAACGCGGACCAAAAGTTGACGTAATCTGTCATATATTGTATCCTAACAGACTTTCTTACATTCTTATGAACATTCTATTCGGTACGTTGCCTGGTTAAAATCCTTGCACTTACTCATGAGATGTTAGCTGTCATCCTATGCGCATGACTCTGTTCTGATAGCATGTAACTGCATTCATTTTGAAAAATTTCATATCTTAAAAAGAAGTAACTTTAAGAATGATTTAATGAGCCTCAAAGTTATTTCAGCAAATCTTGCCTGAAAAAAGTATTAACCTTAGGCCACTTTCATATAAATTTTATATGAAAATATAATTAATTTTAGGTTATTTATCAAATAACAAATTTTTAGGCAAACAACAAATAAGAAGCTTTATATTTTGTCAAATGTACACCATCTTCAAATCTTCCAACATCATTGAAATGTCACACTATTGGGTTGGGTACATTGACATATTCTGCAAAATATGCTGACAACAGGGTTTTTCAAGTGTTTATGCTACAGTTGTGTCACAGGAGAAAGTATTTCTTGAATCGTCTTTCCTCAGAATGATTTTTTTCTCAAAAATTGTATGTTCAATCCTGTCAGTAAAACATTCATAATAAACCACAGAGAACGTAAGAACTACATTTTCACAGTAAAACAAATTTATAAAGGATCCCAGAGACCAGAAAAACATTGAAAATTCCCTACAGTGAACAAAATAAATAAGGTTACGCAGGGAACCTGAAAAATATGCTGTGGCAGTGCAGTAAAACAGGTTTATGAAGTATCCCCAACTGGCCTTAGAGATACGTTCTCAACAGTATAATGTGTTTATATGGAACCCAAGCTGAGCTAGATAATTAGTTCTTTACTATATAGAGGGTTTATAGTAGATCCCAGGGAACATAAGAAAAAAATAGTCCTTTACAGCAAAGTTTGTTTATAATAAACACCAGAAGAGCTGAGAAATGAGTTCTCAACTATAAACTATGTTTATAACAAACTCGTGGAGTTGATAAATGATTTCTCTGATGAAATAGGTTTATAACAAATCTTAGGGAAGCTTAGAAATAAGTTTTCAACAGAAGAATATGTTAATAACAAACTCCAGGAGAGCTGAGAAATGATTCTCTATAATAAAATATGTATAACATATAGGGGACCTTAGAAATAAGTTCTCTACAATAAAACCGATTTATAGCCAATATCTGGTTACCATTATGAGTTTTTGATTTCATGTTCAAGTGTAACATCTTGCTAGTGTACTGGGGGTATCAAGTGTACTTCGTGTGTGATTTTTATGAGATTTAATCTTATTACCTACAGTTAATTACTTATCAATAAGCTGATACTCTTTTACCAAATTAATCTTGTTAGTATATTATTGAAACATTCTTACTTTCTTTGGCTCAGCATTTAACAATAATTAATCTCTTTAGCTTTAGTTCATACACTATTGTAGGTTATGGATTTTGTTAAAACTATTGGATCTGGTTGCATTCCTATGCTCGAAATCTTGGAAGAATTTCAGGAAAGATCAAAAGTTACCATTACATTAATATGTAATATGCAATCCCCCTAACTATGGAGGGTAAGCTTACTGGATACACTGGTATGTGTGAATGATAAATCATTTAAGACGCCAAGGCATACTGGATCAGTGGAGGATATGTAACAGAATGGAAATAAAGTTCTGTTACAAAAAGAAATAAAATGTCACAGTGATAAGTTGTACCACAATTTTGTTTTGACTTATAGGAAGACAAAACGAGAAGTTTGAATATATACATGTCAAGCTTACCCAATTGTCTTTTGGTATATAACGACAGGTACAAATCAAGATTACCCATTAGTCGGTTGATATCCAAACGGCAGTTGATTTAGTCCCAAGCTAACCAATTATCTGACTAATATCAAATATTTATGTACAAACTTTACCAAAAGTCGAGTGATATTATATACGTACATGTAAATATGGGACAAGCTTACCAAATAGTGGGTTGATAAATATACGAGTCAAGCTTACCTAATCGTTGGTTAATTTATATGTGTACGGGCCAAGTTTGCCTGATATATGTAGTTGGTTGATATTATACATGTAAATATGGGACAAGATTACCAAATAGTCTGCTTATCTTATATAACTACCAGCCAAGCTTACCAAATAGTCTGTAGTTGTTATATATGCAAGTCAAGCTTACCTATTGTGCAAGTCGTCCTTAACCAACAGTCTGCTGATCTTATAATCAGGTATATGTTCTGGTGTATTGTATAATTTCTGCTTTCTACTTGCATGTTATATGCTCTTTCTTACTTTAATATCAGTACTAGCATTGTAACGCAAAATCAATAATGCTTCAGAATTCCCCAATCTCAGACCTGACCTTGAACAATGCCTCTGATAATTGCAAATACATCATCAAGTCAAGATAACAAAGATTAAATGATCCTGGTAAATCAAAATTCTTACACAAGAAAAGTAGTTTCTGTCTTGATTGAAATGTTTACACAAGGGAAATAAGTCTTGTCTGAGTCGGAATTTTTCTGTAAGGGAAAGTATTTCTTGGTAAATCAAACGTTTTACCCAAGGGACAATTCCAGGTACAAGTTTGAGGCCTGGTCATCCCCACACCACCAAACAAGGTGCCTATAATGATGAGAGGGTAATACTTTGGTTATGATCGGGGATTGTCTCTGTAAGCTGGTATCAATAATGGAAATTGACTCCAATATCAAAGTGTACATATCGTCAGTAGATAGTTGCCTCAAAGATGATATAGACAATTCTGTTGCCATCATCATCATCATCATCATCATCGTTGTTGTTGTCATTGTTGTTTACTCTGCCCTTGCTACCCGTGTATACAATTATTGCTGTACTGCTTTGCTTGTTCTTAGTACTAAATCATTTACATATGCTTGCAATTTCAGTTTTCCTTTTTGCTTCTTTTATTTTGAAATGTAGATGTAGTGAAAGTTGTTTAATTTTAGGTTTTTGTTTTTACTTTTTTTCTTCTCTAGATCGACCTAGAAGTTCACGCCATACTCACAACAGTTTTAACAGTTATCGAGACCGTCGTAACCATAACGACCCCAATGGTAAGCCTGCCATTGCCTAGTAACAACTCTGACTCCTCCCTTCTTCCTGTATACCCTCTAACCCAAAGTGTTGCTGGAGTGTGTCAGATTACAATTATTTGTAACTCATACTAATGTGTGGGTTTCATTTTGCCTTCTCTAACCATCATTATAGATAGACTCAATCATTGATGGAATGGTTTCCATTTGTTGCACATTAATCCAACAGAAGTCCCATCCCCAATTATTACATTGTACTTTGAAATTCATAATTGTTAAATCAGAATGATAACCCCTTTGTTTTACAAAAGTTTATTTAGTTTAAATCAGCTATAAAGTTATAATATTGGAAAGATTCCTATGAATTTATGTTTAATTTATTCACAAATTGATTTTTTTCCACAAATTGAAATTCTTCCCCTTCATTAAATAAATCTAGAGACTGCTGTGATTTGTATAATCCCTACTGGATAATTTCCCTTACCGATAATTCTCCTGTTCGGAGTTGACCTGGTTGGACTACTGGTGGATTACGTGACATGATTGAAACTTTTAATTTTAATTTGTGCCTTGTGTAGTGTGTGTTTGTCTTGCAGTGTGCTTTGTGATGTATTTTAGTATAATGTACACCGGTATAGTCTGCACACAATTTAATACGGGAACACTTGATATTAAAACACACCAAGCACCTCACTATGTCACATGTACTAACATAAATGGTATTTTTCATGTACTGATATTTACACAGATGAATCTCCTTAATTCACGAATATATCAGTCTCATTATTTGAATTTTCTAGGTTCTGCTGACATTTATTTCAAAGTTCATTGTTACTTTTGATGTACAATTACTGACAGCAAGGGAGGACAATACAGGGCTTGTTCAACCCTCACATCAGAACTGTCTGGAAACCCCAGGCATGTGTTATAGTACCAGTAACTAAAGCTTACCTGTAATTAGTCTGTGTGCTTGATTTCAAATACTAGTATAAAATCTCCATTTTCTGAGGAGAAAAAATGTACAGCCTAATTTTCGCACTAAGGCATTTCTAATTGGAATTAAATTTTTAGAATGAATTTTTTTATTTATTTGAAATATGTTCTTTATTATTTTTTTAAGTTTGTCATTTTAATAGCTAGACTGCCAATTTAAGCAAAAAAATCAAATCTGAAAGAAACTATGCCAATTTTTGTACAAAAATTCATGCATTAACTGGGATCATTATTGATATTTCATAAAAATTATGAACAATAACGGTGCATGAATGCAAAGCACAGTTTACCAAAGTCGCGTGTAGGGAAAATGAATCTGTTATGTTATCCTGTAGGTCGACAAGACAAGTGATAGTCTACCTGCATTGATTTCTGTGTAACCTACCTGTCTCTCAATTTCTCAAGTCGTTTTTATGAGTCATATACAGCATTCACTTATAATAGCAGCAACCCTAGCAATCCATTTTACCTATTGATTTTTTCAGCATTTCCCTACGACTTGAAGACTTTCAATGCATTTCCAGGTTTATATATAGAATTCCAGGTCTTATTGTCTTAACATTGCCATACTGCTGCAAATCCAGCACAATGTGACGAATTTTAAGAATTTTGGTTTCTTGAAGACATGCAATTCAACTGAACAGTTGGTAAAAAAAAAAGATGAATACCCTAAGGCTGATATGGCATTTGGATTATGTTCAGAGATAGTAAAACCAGCTGCAAGAAGGATTTAGATAAAATTGACAAGAGAGATTAGTTTCTATTTCTAAGTCAACAACATCAAACATCATTTTCAGAGCATTGATTTTCAATCTAGTCACCATTAGATTGGGGGGGGGGGGGGGGGGGGGGGATTGTTAAATAAAAATCAAATTTCGGAATATAAAAATATCAATTCGGCAGTAATTCTCCACATTACACTTGATGACAGGTGGGGTTGGAGTTGTCTGTGTAGGTTAATCATTTGGGAATATATTTCTATGTTATATTGGTGGGAGTTCGAGTCTATCTTTACTGCCTGTTTATTGACTCGCTCCATGTTGTAGCCTTACTATAACTGTACAAGATTTCATTATTGCTGTTGTCTGACTTACCCATAGATATCTTTTTCAAGGGTCATTTGTAATAGACGTTTTAGCTTAGATTTCACCCCAGTCTTCGTTGTTTCGTTGACTATATGTAGCCAGAAAAGGAATTCAGAGTTCACGGAGAATTAAGAGATTTGAGTACAAGAAATGACATCACACAACTGAAACGAAAACTGATTCCTGGCTATCGTTCTAAAAGCAAATAATGGTCTGGACAGTCACCGTTTGTTAACTCATTCAACCTGAATTTTCATAATGAACTATTCCAACCTTTGAATTGGAAGAGTTCAAATGTGTTGTCAGGGGTGGATAAGGTAAACATTGGTCATGTTTCTACTGTCAAATATTTCGCACAGATAAGACAGGCCATTAATGGCAGTTAAGTAATAAAGTTTATTAGCAAGATTAAAACACTGCATGTTATTGTAGTATTTCAAAAACAACCTTTGAATACATCAGTTGAATCATCCACAAGATATTTTTCATTGCAGGTATATATGTTCTGTTTCATTAAGAAACATAACTTCATTTAACTCATTCATCACTGGAATTTATATATTGAACTATTCCAACCTTTGAATTGGAAGCGTTCAAATGCGTCTTCAGGGGTGAATGAGTTGGGAGAATATAATCGGAATAGTTTATATATATTTACTTTTAAGTAATACTAATTATTCAGCAGACCATAACCGTGTTTAATTAATATGTTCTTTTTCCTTATAAACTCACATAAAATGAAATTGTACAGTATTTAGTTCCGTGTGCTTTATATAATATGGGAATAGATATATAGTTATGTGTTATGCATGTTTCCAATTATCATTTAATAATTTAAATATGCATATGTCTCGATATATACATGATGGAAGCACTGGTTTACATGTGTAGAAAGCTGTCAGATTGGACCTTCTTATATATACAACAAGTTACAAACATTTAAGACTATTAGCAGATTCTGAAAAATTCTACTACCTAGTGCAAATTTACAAGACCTGGGCATCAAGTTAGTGGAATTGTACAGTTCTGCACTTGTAAAATATGTATGAGAATATTTTCTTAATTGGATTTTTTTTAAAAATAAGTATGGTGTGTCGAAATTAGATTTCAAGGTTTAGTGAGGATATGGAGTTTCTTGGACGATTTTAGCTTGAACTATGGAGATTCCACTTGCATATTTGACCATGTTTGTATTTGTGAACAGCTCCCCCTAGGATCAATGGCCACAGTAAACATCACAGAGACAGAGGTCACGCATACGACTCGTCAACTGTACTCAGTAGCGATATCGACACCACCAGCTTCTTCGACTCCGAAGATGATAGCAGGTACAAACTGAACAATAGAAGTCTACATAACAGAAACTTGTTATTTGTTAACTCATTCACCCCTGAAGACACATTGAACTCTTCCAAATCAAAGGTTGGAATAGTTCATTACGAAATTTCAGGGGTGAATGAGTTAAAAAGTTCCCATACTTGACAGCTGGCTGCAAGCAATTCCAGCTTTTCAAATTTGTCTGACTTAGTATAATGAAAGGGAGGTATCTACTGTTTGTGTTTTGATAGAAGTAGCCAAGAAACATTCAAGGTCATGAAAGAAACCGTCCACGTTTGCTAATTGTTCAATTTCTGATATAAAAAAAAAAGATAATTAATGTTCCAATTAAGAAATATGAAGTCATTTAATTACCTGATAATTGATACAAAAGTATGTAGGAATGGTTAAAAGCAGCTCTGCATGTATATGTAAGAGAAAAATGTAGGCCATCATGATTTTATAACGACATTTTGAATAATGTCAAGACTGGGAACAAATCTAGTTTGACTGATAAGAAATATTGATAGTGTCGATGTATAAAGTGGTTAAAGCATGGTATAAAACAGATTTGAACACTGAGATATTTACACCCCGGGTTCCCCTTACAAACTTATTATTAAAGACATCTTGGAACCTAAGCTGTCTAGAATTATTATTACATGAAGTGGCACTTGAATTTAATCCAGAAATGGTGCAGGGAAATGTTTTGTAATCTTTTATGTAAAAAGTTCGTAATTTTTCTACGCAGATTCTCCACAGTCACAGACACTACCAATAGGTCGTCAAAATATGGTCGACACCGACGAAGACGGCGGAAACACAGACTCCCTCCTATCAGCCGGGTAAGTCCGCATTCAATGAGTCCCTCCAATTATCAGGTTCAATCAGCGGGGCAAGTCCAATACATTTACGGTGTGTCATGTCAATGTCTGCAACAGGGATAAATTGTCATGTTTTCGTGCAAAAATGTGAATGGCAGAGCATTGCATTATCTGATGTGTAAAAAATGACAGTTTTTATACAGAAACATTATAGGTTGTAATATTTCGGAGTAGATAACAAGAAATATCTGAACAAGAGAAAGTTATCTTGATAACTGCTATATAATAGAGGTAACCTTGGGATAGAACAGTATATAACAGCTACATGGTGATGGGAGTCGTTTTATTACAGAGGTTCTGATAGGGGGGGGGGGGGGGTATATATCATATAGGTACCTAAGGAAAGGTGGTTGCTAAATCACAAAGAGTCTGGTGTATTTAAATTTGGTTACCAGGGAAAGTAAGAGGGGGATCAATAGCGTTGTCAATACTGCCAGTTAACCCTTTTTAGTCGACACTTATTAGCCTACATTGTTTAGTCTACACTATATAGAGTCAACACTGTCAGTCTACACTGTTCACCTGAAGTGTATATATATATATCTAGGTTGTATCTAGAAAATGAATGTTTTTGCATCCAAGATGGTTCAGAGGAAGTCCCGTTTGTTATCGGAGCTGTGCAGGTGGTTTGGCCCACAGTCAATACTGCCATCCATCATCAGATATCTTGCACTGTTGCTAATATATAAATAGATACCTTTATGTTTGTTACACAGGATATAAATAGCCGTAAGATGCTACCTAAGCTTTTCAACTTGAGAAATCTTGAAATCTGTTGAAAGTTCCATCAATATCCTGATAGAAAAGTCAAGTTTGTGATATAATTTGACACTCTGTAAATAGTTCCTCGATCTGTAAAACTCGTCAGGATACAAAGATAAAACAGAAGAAAAATGGAGGTAAAAAAAACCTTAGATCCTGTTGATGTCCCGCAACTAAACAACTGACTAGTATATTCCCTGTATAAGGTAGCTTTGTTCCCAGCATATGGCAGTACCAGTTTGTACAGTTGATTAGACTAAAACAACCGGTAAATTAATAAGTTTTATTATATAGGAAAAAGATAAACATCCATGTTACCATGGAAACAGAATCAAAACACTGAAGACTACATGCTGCTTGTACTTTCTCCCATGTCTTGTACACCCTGGGAGGATGTTTTCCCTGTTAGGGGTTGATAATGGTACTAAATACTTCTGTCCATAACTTTTGTGATTTATATATTAAGAATGTGGGTTATACAAGTATGTACATTATTCTTCACCTATTGGTGTTTCCATATGGGCTATAGGTTTGCACTTCACTCTTCAGTCAGCCCATGCAGCAAATTGTCCAGAGCATATCATATACTCTGTCATCTAAAATTGTCAACGAGTCTTCTGTGTCATCTACAATTGAGTCTTCTGTGTCATCTAAAATTGTCAATGAGTCTTCTGTGTCATCTACAATTGTCAATGAGTCTTCTGTGTCATCTACAATTGCCAATGAGTCTTCTGTGTCATCTGAAATTGTCAATGAGTCTTCAGTGTCATCTTAGATTATTGTCAATGAGTCTTCTGTGTCATCTAAAATTATTGTCAATGAGTCTTCTGTGTCATCTAAAATTATTGTCAATGAGTCTTCTGTGTCATCTAAAATTGAGTCTTCTGTGTCATCTTAAATTGTCAACGAGTCTTCTGTGTCATCTTAAATTGCCAATGTGTCTTCTGTGTCATCTAAAATTGTCAATGAGTCTTCCCACTGTATAGAGTTATGGCCCTTACTTGATTTGGGATGTCAAAATTATTCTGGAGGCGGGTGATTAATACTCATGGTTTTTAATTTTGTTCTGTTTCAGGCATCTTCATTTAGTAGCATAACAGACTCAACTATGTCTCTCAACATCATTACAGTCACGTTAAATATGGGTAAGTCTGTCACATTTAGTAATCCTATCTCATGTAGTACTCGTAACTGCATACATATTGGTCAAACCTATTGTTCATAAGTAAATTACATCTTGGAAAAAAAAAAAAAGGTACTTCTTACCTGAATGACTTCACAACCCGACTGAACATGTATTGATACACTCTTTACTGTAAAACGTGCTGTGGTATTTTTAATTTTTATTTGTCAAAATAAAATTTGTTCAAATTAAAATTAAATATTTAGAATTAAACTCTACTGATTTTACACTTCATTGAATGGTTGTCGCACCAGTACTGTTATTATGCTTATCCTGCAATGTATCTGTATATAAAACGATTGATCTGTTTTGTTTTTCAGACACAGTGAATTTCCTTGGTATCAGTATTGTCGGTCAGAGTAATAAAGGTGGGGATGGGGGTATATACGTCGGCTCAATAATGAAAGGGTAAGTATCTTGGGAGTGTGTCTCTTACTAATTTACTCTATAGAAGGGGGAGAAAGGATGAAAAGGGTTTTAACTTATTAGCATTTTCATGTTCCCCTTACGCAAAGGTAATAAATGTATATATTTGTTTAAAATATTGAAACAAGTTCAAAATTGATTTGAAAGTCTTAAATACTGATAGAAAGAAGACCCAACACATTAACTATGACAATGGATTTTTTTTGTGAATTTTGTTCCATAAATATAACTGGACTCTAACAAGCTGTATATATGTGATACTGTGTATCTTCTTGGAGGCTAAGTTTAGAGTTAATACTTTGTTCTCAGACACTTATATAGTATGAAACCATGTTTTTTCCCCAGGGGTGCTGTAGCCCAGGATGGTCGTGTGGAGCCTGGGGACATGATCCTAGAGGTCAATGGGGTCAGTTTCGAGAACATGAGTAATGATGATGCTGTCCGAGCGTTACGGGAAGCTGTCCAAAAACCAGGGTCAGTACTGAAATGGGAAATTTTTGTCCATGTTTCATTTTCAAATTTGAACATAAGGGATAATTGGGGGGAAAAAACAGAGCGAAAATATCAGATAGAGTTCACAGTATATAGAGTAAGCAGAATTATTATTATATATGGGGAAAACATTCTTTGTTGAGTTAATTTGTTTTGAAGGCCAGAGAGTAAAACTTCTTACAGAACAGAATTATTACTGTTTACAGTATGCTTACAAGAATATAAAGCATAAAATTTAGCTATATATATTTCAAAGCAAGAATGAAATTAAGTTTCTTCACTTTTGGATGTCCATACATATTTTTTGTTGTAAATTTCAGCTTTTCAGTGCATTTTAATATCCGAAATTCATAAATTGTGTCAGTTTACCTTTGAAAGAAATAAGCAATATAATAGTTTAGGGAGCTTAACAAACTATTCAGAATTAACTGTAAGAAATATCAGTTCCTGAAATGCCCTCTGATTTTATTTGCAGTCCAATTACACTAGTCGTTGCCAAATGTTGGGACCCCAATCCTAAAGGCTACTTTACAGTCCCTCGACAGGAACCAGTGCGGCCCATCGATCCTTCAGCATGGGTGGCGCACACGACCGCTATGAGGGGGGACTTCCTGTCACGGGGCGGGCCAAGCCCGTCTCTCAGCAACATGACCTCTACTAGCTCCTCCCTCACTAGTTCTATACCTGAGTCAGAACGTAAGTATTGTAACTCACCAATTATACACTAGTGTCAGAGCTTGCCAAGAGCGTAAGTATTGTAACTCACCAATTATACACTAGTGTCAGAGCTTGCTAAGAGCGTAAGTATTGTAACTCACCAATTATACACTAGAGTCAGAGCTTGCCATTTCGTCATCCAAGTCAGAGCCTCAGTATTTTAACTTGATATAGTTATATACCAAAGTAAGTGGAGAATTTAAACTCACCAGCGATATGCCAGGGCAGATTGTTAGTATTGTAATTGGCCTGGTTTATAACAGTCTGAGCAGGGTATTGTGTGTAATTCATTTGTATTACAACCAAATTAGAGCAGAGTCCTATTACCTATTTCTGAGCAGTACATACTTTTTTACATAAAGACAAATCTAGGAGATGCATTTGTGCAGTCTCCACTCTTTCAAGTATTTTTTGCATTTAGTGGATTATTACATAGCTCTAATCAAAACGTCGTACCAGAAGAGGTTTTTTAAATCGACAAATATTTTGAGGTTATTTTTTTGGTAGAATGATTTAACAGATTAAGTGAGAAAGAAAAAAATGAATAAGCTAATGAATAAAATATTTAATTTTAATTCAGACTGCTTATGTAACCTGTTATCTGATGAGACGAAGAGCACTCATCCTTATAACAAAATTATGGTTTTTTCCAGGATTTGACGATTTAAACCTCACCATTAACACTGATATGGCAACAGTTGTCAAAGCGATGGCACAACCAGACTCCGGACTGGAAATCCGGGATAGGATGTGGCTCAAAATCACCATACCAAATGCTTTTATAGGTTAGTAACATCAATGTTGGTAGGTTTTGAATTCACAGTTTAGAATCCTTTGAAATTTTTATCCAGAGTTCTGATAAGAAATAATTATAATCTGAAACTCAGATTTTAGTTTCTAAAAAAAAGATTTTATAATATTTGAAAAATATCTGTGCAAGGATAAAATTTGTTTGAACACATTTAAAGGTTTAATTTGATGTATTTCATGAGTTTTACATTAAGCATCATTTGCACATTCGTTAGTCTTGTGAACAATTTTATATATGGAGAGATGTATGACACCTCTCTATATGTAATGGATGATATACACTTTAGTGAAATGCAAATTATTGTTCTTACAAATAAATCCTTAAAAGTTGAATATTTTGTATAACATCTACAGACAAATTAGTACAATGTAATAAGAAACCTAGATTACTAGATTATAACGATTATGTGACATTGTGTTTTGCAGGTTCAGACTTAGTAGACTGGCTCTTTACACATGTAGATGGGTTTGCTGACCGAAGGGATGCAAGAAAATACGGATGTAATTTGCTGAAGGCAGGGTACATCCGACACACTGTCAATAAAATCACATTTTCGGAACAGTGCTATTATGTGTTCGGGGATCTCTATGGAAGTAAGTAAAGCCGAAAAATGAACTTTTCTCCAAACACACCTCAACTTTCATTATTCTTTCGTATCTTCATGACCATTTTTCAAACAAACTTCCATTTTCATTATTCTTTCATATCTTCATGACCATTTTTCAAACACCCTTCAATTTTCATTGTTCTTTCATATCTTCATGACCAAAAGAATGATCACATAGTTTTGAATTCATCATCCGTCCTCTAGATGAATGTGTTGTGTAGACTGGTTATCAGTTGAATGTTAACTCATGTTATAGTTGCTGTCTATGACGCTCAGATAAACCGCCGTAACGTGACTAGGGGCTTAGTTTGACAGACTTTAACGAGTCACCATAACACAATCAGGGCTGAGTCTTGACTGACTCCTTAAATGCGACAACATGTCACCATAACACGACTGTGGCTGAATTTACACTGACTTTTCGACTTTGACAAGTCACCAGAACAAGACTGGGGCTGAATTTTCACTGACTTTTAGACTTTAACAAATCTCCAGAACACAACTAGGGCTGAGTTTTGACTGACTTTTCGAGTCACCAGAACATGACGAGGGCTGAGTTTGACTGACCTTTCGAGTCACCAGAACACGACTAGGGCTGAGTATTGACTGACCTTTCGAGTCACCAGAACACAACTAGGGCTGAGTTTTGACTGACCTTTCGAGTCACCAGAACATGACGAGGGCTGAGTATTGACTGACCTTTCGAGTCACCAGAACACGACTAGGGCTAAGTTTGACTGACCTTTCGAGTCACCAGAACATGACAAGGGCTGAGTTTTGACTGACCTTTCGACTGTGACAACAACAGGAACATGTTGCTGTGTTTCGCATAAACATGGAATTCAGCTACTACATGATTCATATTTTCTAATTAGCCTTTCTCATATTCAAGGTCATTCGGCCATCTGAAATGTATGCCCTACTTCATTGAACATTTTGCTCATATTTCATCGTTTCCTTTTTTCTCCATTCCCAATTTTAGATGGACCCGTTTATCCAGGTTAGTAAATTCATAAACTCATAGTTACCTCCCCTGTATATATTAATCTGCTGTACTGCTACTAACAAACCATATATATTATACTGTGTATGTCTGCTTGTCCTCAACTTTTTAAGCTGGAAAAAGGTCTCTTTATCGCTCATGTCAATGTTGAACATGTTCAAATGTCAAGGTCACTGCTTCAGAGGATTGGTGCTAATACATTATATGACAGGTTGGATTATCCTGTGCCGACAAAAATACTGAATATAAAATTGGTGCTAACAGGTCATTGGTGTTGTGTTTTCAGTACTTTGGCGACTTGTCAATGTTACGGGTAAATTGTTTTATATTGGATGCAGGTTTACGCTCTGAAAATTTCTGATTGTAAAAATCTCTTGCATGACAAGAAATATATTTTGATAAAATACGTTTTATGCACAAGTGTTTTCCTCAGAACGTTGGGAAGCTCAAACATTTCATTTCTCCAAGAAAAGCAGCTAGATACATCAATTGTCTTTAGCATGATCAGTTCACTATTGCATGTTGCGTACAAAAGTTTCGTGCTCATTTTTCTATGAACCACCAAAATTTCAAAACAAAATCCCAAATCTTGGTTTTAAATCATGTATAGTCGCTGAATGGACATATTGTACTCTTTTTGATGTTTATAAAAGTATTTTTCTGTGTTTTAATTATGAGGAACAAATCAGAGATTTAAATTATTTCTTCAATTTATGTGTACATCTGAAGTATCGTTGTAAATGCATTGTTTTCGCTTGGCTCCAATACCTTGTATCTTTTTTTAGTGCACAAAAACAGTATTTAAAAATGTATATTAACGTGTGATTTGGTTTCCATTCTTTGAACTTCTCTTCATGAATTAGCAATTAACTTCAACTGAAAGGAATATTATGTTTTACAATATCAAAAACATACATTAAAATGACTGCTATAACAGTGAATACATTTGGCGAGTTCATACTGGGGTTAAACAAAAACTCATCTAATAATTTGCATCTTGTTTATATGGATCCTTTATAGCACCAGTTACTTCTTGGTTATACAGGGGTTAAGTTCTAGTATGATCCAGGAGTACTGGTATGCTTTTGAGTTTGTATATGACAAAAGAATTGTTCAAAAGAATTTCTAGAATTCCTATCTAACTATAAATTGTGGTTTTGAGTATGTATGGAAAGCATATTTTTCTGGATTATAGATTTTGATATATATCAATATATAGTATATATAGTGTATATTGACAGATCTTTAGAGCTTGAAGCTTCTGCGAAATATAAATTAAGTATGGTATATGTTGAATGATATGTAAGGCTTGAAGCTACTGAAGTATATACAATAGTTGTGGTGTTTGTTGACAGATCTATCAACCTTGAGTCTAGAGGATGTGGACTCGGTGTCGGAGGCTGACCGTGACACGCTTGCTCCCCTGCCTCCTCCCCACTGGAACAACCAGTATCCCTATGGTAACACCAGTTACTTACCCACCAACCTCAGCTACATACCGCCCTACAGCTACACCAGTACCGACAGCCAAAGCTACGTGGGAAGCTTCGTGGACGGAATGGACAAGTCGGTGACGGGCGGGGGAGGCAATAACAGCGCTGGCAGTGTACACAGTGCATCAGGTAACGGAAGTGTGGACAAACTCGTGACGCTTGGTCTAACTCACATAACAGCTCATACTGTTACGATGAATTTTGAATTTTCAGGACTGTTTGAAATCTTATGTTATAGCAGTATCCCACTGTTAAGTATTACATGGATAGGTATTAGTCTGTTCATTACCCAAATGCAAGATCAAGTTTTACCCAATATTCCAATGCAGTTCTAGTGTCTCTACCCAGTTCAGGAAATACCTTGTTAAAGTCGGGAAGATTTTAGAATATGGGATACCATATTCCTCCACTCAAACTTACTTCTTAGCCTTTAGAAATGACAAGGAGACCGAGGGAATAGAATTACTTTGGGAGCTCTACAGGGCATGGCATAGCGAACAGCCTAACCTTGGTTTATCTCTTCTGCAGCTAAATGCTTGGCGTTTCTTTTAGAAGTTTTTGATTTGCTTCATTGACAAAGCTTATATGATGAATATCTCCTTGAAAACTATACAAGTGCAAACTTTCTGAAATGAGTCCTAGAGCTTTAGTACTTTAGTGTGGGGTGGGGTGACTGTTTACATGCCGATTATTTGTTGTGAAAACAAATGTCAAAGATAAACCTTCAGGGTATTTGCACAAATTGTGGTACATTTCATATACAAAGGCATTCTATTGAAAAATGAATATTCCTCAACTGAAACCATTTAAGTGATATAGGGCCATCCAATGAGAACATGCTTTTATGCTTTTATGACTTTTAAGAACGTCTGTACTATGAACTTGTTTCTCAGGATGCTTCGTGCTAACTCTTGCTATGGATAGACTTGAACTGCATGCTGCTATGTAGTTCAAAAACAAGAACAAGCAAGATTCAGGTGAAATTTGAAATTTAAATAAACTGATGAAATGAAATTTCTGATTTCTGTCTGAATTGTGACAAGGTGTAGTATTAAGTTGTGGAGAACTTATTAGGTATTCTATGCATGTAAGAGTGTTTGATGTTTTCTGTCTCCGCATGAAACAGCATCATTATTTCTGTAACTTTCATTTCTAAATGGATGTGATTATCATGATTTACCTGGTATTGTAGATGTGTAAAAAAAAAATCAGTTCTGAAACGTAATGTTTGTATTCCATAACATATTGATTTAATTTGTAATTAGTTGACATTGCCCTGTCTGCCTTTCCGATATTACCACATGGTATTGGACCTTGTATCCCTCTGTCCACACCTTCGGATACCAGAAATCCTACCTAATGGTCTTCCTTGTGTGCTGAAAGTGTGTGTTGTTTCTTTTCCCCTTAATTTTTTTTCCTTTCCCCAATTTTTTTTTGGTTTTCTTTTTTTCAGTTGTCCAAAAAGATTGTGCATGTATTGTCAGTACATACAATCATTTGAAAAAACTTTGGGAAAATAAGGATAAACAACAATTCAACCAGCTCCAGCAACAACCAAATTCCATGGTAACCCCATATACGGCCTCCATGGATTTTGCATGTTCACGGACCTCCACAGCTAGTTCTGGTTTGTAGTCTTGTTTGTTACCCAGTGCTTCAAGGTCATGACCTCTATAAACTTGCTGCTGTCAAGGTGATGACCTTTACACCGGTCGCCATGGCTTTCTCTCTTTTTCCCCTTCAGTTTTTGCCTAATTTGGTGTTGGTGCCTATCTTTGGGTGTTTATTTTTCCATTTCAATTTGATTTTTGTTTAACGCTGCTTTTCAATTAAAATGCTTGTTGTTTTTGTTGAATTGGGATATTGTGCAATATCTCACACCTTACACAGCACTTGGCTTTTGATCCGTTGTTACCTGTTGTTTCACATGTTATTAACACAATATATGTTGTATGTACATTGTTATATGAGTCAGTATTACCAAGAGCTTTGCGTTAATATACATTGCCTCGGGGAGTTACACTAAATTGTCTTGAGTCGGCTCTGATAAGATGCATGTGCCATACTTACAACAGTATATACTAGCGCTGCTACTTCTGTATTATTAGCTAATATTTACAGACTCCGATTAACTCATTCACCCATGGAATTTCATAATGAACTATTCCAACCTTTGAATTAGAAAAGTCCAAATGTGTCTTCAGGGGTGAATGATTTAAATCATTTTCACTGTGTTTTCAATATAACCCACTAATTGCATTTTCAATTAGCATAGTTAACTAAATAAATAACGAGCACTTGTAACAATGGCTAAAATAGATTTTCCTTGCAAGATGATATAACAAGGAGAATTATGATCCCATATCAGTCTGACAAATGTTTTAGGGGAATAATATCATAATAATGATAACCAAACATGTCCCTGTTTCAGTACTAACAGGTTCTTTGTAGGACTAGGTAAAGGGGTGTATATTCATGCACATTTTATAACCAAAACTTGATAATAGAGCTGTCTTATCACTTAACTCATTCACCCCTGAAATTTCATTATGAACTATCCCAACCTTTAATTGGAAGAGTTCAAATGTGTCTGCAAGGATGAATGAGTTTATAAAGTGAAGACATGAACAATGGAGAAAAGCAGTAGCCCTATAAAGGAAGGATCTGTCTTAATTTTATACATAGTTGGACTACATGAGGCTGGGAATACAGTATCTTTGGTTTATATGGTTTATTTGCTGGTAACTGAAGGGAGTAGTTCTAATGATGATGAAGGCAATATCTGTAACGCCTATTTCTGTATCCTTGGTAGTTAGTCAACACCAAAGTCTTGCCTGTATGCTGATATTTATTATGCTTACCACAAAACATTTATGATTATATGCTTGTCAGCTTACTGTAAAATTGTCACATTGTGTCAATGCATATTAACCCATACTAATTATAAAAAAATCCAAAGATCATGATCAATAATGATCACCCACATAATAAAAAAATGTAGGATTTTTGGAAGGGAAATGAATTGAAATTGATACTGATCAGATTATTAAAAAAACTTTGTTAAATGGTTAGTGGCCTCAGAAAGTCTGAGTTTGTTCATTTGTAGTACTAGGTCAGCATGTATGTTGGAAACAAGATTTATATTTATACTGTATTGTGCAATATATACACTGTGCTCTGCACTGAGCATGTTACACTGTAGGCTGTCATAGCGCCCCATTGATTTAACCCAGTCTTTTTACCACAACAAGTACTACTACACTGTACTGGAAGTAGTATACCTTACATTTTGTCATAGAGCTTATACCAAACTCACAGGCTTCCTAAATTAATATATAATAACATTTTGCTTTCAAGGATATTCCCCACTTGTTAACTTCTGCAGGTAGCTTTTTCTTGGGTTTGTCACAGTGCAAAGTTATCATTTCACACTTTTTTACTTGATTCTTGCAATTCTTTGTTTTAGTAGATTTTCTCGTAATGATATTGTAAGGGTCAAGTGTTTCTTATCTGCAGGTTCGTAATCTGAATCATCAAGTAGAGTTTTTACCCCCAGCAGAGCTTTGCAAGACAACTGTGAAACTGTTTTTTGGACCTAATTTGAAATTAATTTTCTTATTCATTTGTTTTACTTTCAATACAATTATTGGAAAGATTCTTGTGTTTAAGTTTGCATGTAGACATGAGTAGAACGGACCTCAACTGATGTATAGATTGATCTGATTTTATTCAGGGACATACAGAAAGGATTCCAAATAGACAGGATTGTCAGGGTATTCAGTTTTGGTTTTAATACATAACAACATAATGGTCCATCGCTAAGTGAAGGTACATTATACGTAGGTTTCTCAATAGGAACTAAAGATTAAGTTCAGATTTCATGAAAAAAAAAAATATGACCCTCTTTTTTCCACCAAACCTTTGTACCATCTTTTTACGCTTTTGATAACCCTAATAGACATTTAATCCTTGTAGCTGTGGGATAACTAGAGAACTACAAAGTCAGACATTATTGTGTCTCATCAGGGACAAATTGTAAAGCTGTGAAGAAGACATTGTTGTATGTACTGACATGACCCATAAGTGTGTTAAATTCTGATTATTCATTATTTCTCCATTTCCTTTCATTTTTTGTACCTTACAGTACATTTTGTTTGTTTGCATGATATCTATTTAAGGAATTTGAGATAAACATTGTGAACACTACCCTTGAAATAAAATGGACTGGAATAGTCCATTACAATAAAAAGGGTAGATGTGATAGCTACCCTTGAGTGTGAAAAATGGACTGAACTGGTATATAAGGGTAGCCATGTTTTGACCTGTGGAACGTGATGTGATAGATTACACATGAAGGGGAATAACTCTTCAAAGGCACCTGTTTTCATCCTATTTTGCTATCAGTGTTGTGTATGTATATAACTACCCGCTCACCCCTATGCCTCCTTTGTATCATCTGGAAGGCAGGTGAGTTCACTCCAGGTATGGGGTGAACAGGTTATTGCATGAGACATATTTCATGAAGTCCTTATTTGGACCTTGATTACTGCACAATTTTCTGACTCCTGAGTTGAGTTTTGCTTCCATTACTCCTGTTTTGGTGGGATAGCCGTATTTTCCGTTGATTTACTCTGACATTCTGGCATGGAAACATTGTGAATTGCCATTCAACATATTTCTATATCTTGTTTTATACATGATACCTGCCTCAACTATATGTGTTATTTGTTCATTTTACATATAGCATGCACATAATTCAGTGGAGTTTTCTTTCTATTTTCTTCACTGAGTTCTTTTTCACCATTATTGTTAATTTTTTATCACAAAACTTTTTCTGTCATACATATTTTCATGTTCAGCAGCTTTGCATGCACTATCGAATGTAATTGGGACGAGACGACCCTAGCTTAAGGTTTCATTTCATCAGACATTGTATAACTCTATAGAGCTTTTATTTCATGAGGTAAAATTTAGCAGTTTTGTTCCTAGATCAAAATCAGGTCAATTAATGAATCTTATTTACTGTTTTCTTCGAGCTCCAAGTAGAACCAGTATAAAACCTCTGAAATATAAGTACTATAGTCACGCCGACAGAACACTGACCTCCCTCAGTGAGACGAAACCTGTATGGTTGGAGTCATGTAGGCGATAAACCCGTCAACCAACCAACCAACCATCCTCGATATCCAGGGGTAACGCTCACTTTCGCTATCTACACCCCTGGAATATGTCATAGCAAAATTGATGGCACGAAGATAGCTGTTTGATTGGTCTCGTGTAAAAAAACACCTGACCAATCGCTAGGCTGATACATGTCCTTTGAAGATTACAAAGGAGAGATGCCCGACTTCAAAGCCTGTCAATTTTTACCATTACGTGACTACAAGATTCTTTTGATGTACATCAAGTCTTCTTGTCTCATCAGCAAGGTGGCGCACAACGAGCCTTCAATTTTGCTATGACATATTCCAGGGGTGTAGAGAGTAAAGTGAGCGTAACCCCTGGATATCGAGGATGCCAACCAACCAGTACTACAGTGTATAAACAGTATTATATATCACATTGTACCTCCCTCCAATACATCTTTTGGTAAGTGAACATGAACTATTGTCTATGCTATATCCCAAAGGAAGGTTTAACAATTTCCCAGTAGTATTTTGCATGCATCTGACATCACACCTTTTCATTTTAAGTGTAATTTTCATTTCATTTTATGGTACTTTTCATTTTGTTATTTCACACATTCAATAGGTTATATCATTGGTATAAGTGGCAGGTATATATATATATGTGTAATGATTTTCTCTCATGTCTACTTTGATTTGAGTATGTTTTTGATTTCTCTGTATTTGTTGATTTTGGCAGTTCACAATGCTTGCTCATGTCTGCCAGTAAATCTACCAGCGGCTCAACGGCTGTTGTCAAAAACTTTGTGTATCGAGTCAGCCGAGCCCAACAACAATGTCCGTGGTAAAAAATCTGTGTCAAAATCTCCTGCTACGGTAACCACAGTCGCCATGAAGACTGTTGATACGGCAACTGTTGCTACAGACGATAGGCACAAGTGCAAGTCTGCACCCTCACCCATTCCACCTGTAGATGGCCCAGGTATGTCAGGGGGACATAACTCAACATTGCCATCATTAGTCAGGGGAAGCTACTCCGCATGGCCACCACTGCCAACATCTCACTGCCTAGAACTGCTGGTGCTGCCGAGCTTGACACGTTTCAGGACTCGCATGAAGTCTTCACTGCTGCGCTGTCTTGTAGGCACGCTTATTCCGGGCCTGTAGTAAACACAGAAAGGGGCAGATAACTCTGAAATTTGTTTCCAGCTCACCTTCCATTGAATTTTGTGATCTGTTCACAGTGGTTTTGTGTAAAGCATGATAGTGGTACTTTATTATAGCCCTGCCTCTAGCTTCCGTACACAGGACCAGCGTTACTAATGTGTCTGACTAATGTATTCGTTACTGACATGGTGACTTCCCTCCTCGTATGTATCTCAACAATAGTAGCTGTTGTTATACCTGTATACCTGTACTCAGCTCGTGTGTGTCAGAGCACCAACACAATTACCCGTATCAATGTGGAATCTTGTGGATGGTGTGGTTAGAAATATTTTTTTACACAGCATATTTCATAAATAACCAGTTATTCCAAGTTAATAATAATACACTAAGCACATGTAATCTGTTATTTGAGTAATTGATTTACCCCTATGCTTTTCGGTGTACATTGTATTACATCATCCATGTTCATATAAACTCAAAAATGTGATGCATAGGTCTACAATCGATCTGGTGTTATTGAAGCTAATAAAAAGTTTTTTAAGATTAAAATGTACATTTTTTCTTTTTTTGACAAGATCCTTGTTTGATATTTTTCTCCATTAGTCTATCCTTGTCAGAGGGCATCTGTATACATGTAAATTGATGTCTGTCAGGCCAGTTCTGTAACGTTTCAGTATATATTAGCCAGTTTAACATATAGATGTAGCATAAGTTTTTTTTACATTTTCTGTTTAACAGTATTGTATATGTTTTATGATTGTTTGTAGAAAAAATTGTTCCCTGTCAAGATCTATTTGCAATGCCTATTTATACATTATTCTTTATTTTATATATTATTCTTTATTTATTGTTACCTATGTATAACATTGATTTATACAGTAATTGCATGTAAATGGCTTTTTTATACAAAATTCAGAATTTTTCATAAATTCTGACTACTTTATACTAATTGTGACATAAATATACCAAGTATGAATTGGTGTTTTTTGTTATGTGACCTTTGTAAATATTGATGTTGGATCAGAACATGGATTGCATGTGCCCTACAAGTATTTTTGTGCTCACTTCCAATTTTTCCATAACAAAGAATTCAGTCGACCACATGGGAGATGATTCCTTGACTCAATGTGTTATCTAATTTAGATAAAATCTATTATTATTAAAAAAAAAATCTTTTTTTTTCATATTTTTTTTGTGATGTTGAATGTGACAAAATTCAATATTGGAAGTATCACTCTGCTGATAATACACAAACGTCATATAAGAAAAGTTGCTAAGGTGGATTGCAATATTGTTGTTGTGTATGTTTAGATATTGTTACAGATATGGACCATTTTTTCTTGTCTGTAAATGTCACAATTGTTTCGGGTCAATAAAAATTGATATTCACCTTGGCAGAATACCGTATTTGTAGACTTGTTATATTTGCTAGTATTTATTACCTGTGTATATGTACCTGTTATATTTGCTAGTATTTATTACCTGTGTATATGTACCTGTTACATTTGCTAGTATTTATAACCTGTGTATATGTACCTGTTATATAGATCCTCTATATTGTTACCCGTTTCCCAAACCCAAACAGCTCCTTTTCCTATTGCAGTTTTAGCACCAAGAAAAAGGCTTACATTATGAAATTAATTGTCATGACTCGGGTAAATTTTACCATAATGACCATCATTTCCTATCACGGGTTGTGAAAGGAAATGATGGTCATTATGGTATTTTTAATTGAAATTTTCAATTTGAGTTACTGTTCTATTTTTTCAACTTGCTTGCAGAGTTCAAGAAATTGAATTCAGCTGAAATATTTACTAGAATAGCCAAAACGATCAACTTTAAAATAATCTTGGTACAACAAAAAGTTTTAAAGATCGGCTGTGTAAAGGTCTTGAAAACAATTGTTTAGACCTAGCAGTCTTATTAGACCTCAAAGACAGATGCCCTACTTTCTTGTAATATTATTTTCTCATTCATAGATCTACCGTTAAACTCTACATGTTTTATTGACTCCTTCACCCCTGAAATTTCATAATGAACTAATCCATCCTTGGAATTGGAAGGGTTCAAATGTGTCTTCAGGGGTGATTGATTTCAAAGTATCAATCAGCTAGACAAAATCCTTAAGGCTTTGTTTCCTCAACTCTTTGGAACGGAAATAACACAATGAAAGCATGCACTAACGTAACGTTGTGACGACTAATCTGCTAATACTGTGTCACGACGTGATACCTGTTCAGTCAACAACCCATCATTTATCAATGTAACAACAGTGATAGTTCCATTTATGCAAACTTACACATGAAACTAGAACATATGTATCCTTAGTATAACTAGGAATGTCTTTACCCATAAAATGTTTAAACAAAATTACTTGTTAGAAGTCTTTTTCAATTAACTGATAATAAATTACTGTTTTGTAACTTTCAGCTACGATTTTTGAAATGAAGGTGATTTTAAAAGGTGTGAATTTTTGGTGTTTCAGGAAGCAGTGCATCTGGAAGCAGTCGGAAGGAAAAAGAGAAATCAGACAGAAAGTCCGGGAGTCCCGCGGGAAGTGGGGGCAGTGATACTGAGACAGCAAGTCTAGCAAGTGCTCGGCGTGTACAAGTAGTGCCGGCACCGCCATCAACAAACATGATGCCTCCCAATATGATGCCACCAAATATGATGCCCCCTAATATGATGCCACCAAATATGATGCCCCCTAATATGATGCCCCCTAATATGATGCAACCAAATATGATGCCACCAAATATGATGCCACCAAATATGATGCCGGGCCAAGCACTGCCTCCTCCCCCGAGGGACCTGTCTAATATGCCGCAGGATTTAAGTGGCAGCAGACAGTCTTTCAAAATGGCTATGGGAAATCCATGTGAGTTTTTTGTGGACGTCATGTGATCAATCATGTGGCCTCTATACAGCCAATCAGCTCTCATTATTATTTGCATGCTGAAGAACACAGTTGATTTTCATATTTACATTTTTTAGAGAATTATATAAAAAATTGGAGATCTGATTTCCTGAATGGGATAACTTTTTTTAGAAATGGTGAGAAATCATTAAGGGAAAGACATATATGACATACTGTCATATTTGCTCAGAAAATTTGTTTGATAAATCAAAATTTTAGCAGATGGAATGAGGCAGTACATGACAGGAGAATCAGCGGAGAGATAGTAATGGACAGGAATTTGTTTGTTTTCTTGTGTGATAATGTAAAAAGTATTTATGAATGTACAGTTTACTCGTTAGTCTGCATGACCAAGTCCCAACATATCCTCCTGTAGTTCATACAACTTGTATACTTCAAACTGTATGCTCATGTATCGCCAACTTGTTTTTAGCATGTTTGCAAATGTAATTTATTTTAGAAGATTTTGCGGGAGAAAGTGAGTGTGACTGTTATGTAACACAGAATTTGTTTGTGTGCCCTTAACCCTTGCAATCGTGGCCTTGGTACAGAAAAACCATGAATTCAAAGTACTGAGCAACAGCTATGATTGGAAGGGTTGTCTAATATATGTATGTATAGTCAGATTTGATTATGGCTTTAAGCCTAGTTGTCTTCTTACTTTCACTTTAGGCGATTCAGTCATCGACTCATGACCTCTGACCTTCACCCTGACCCTCATCTCCATGGTTACAGCTTCCTTCCATGATTGGCACACTAGCTGGACTAAGACCTGTTTCTTTGTGTGCGCGTTCAGTATGGGCTGATAGCAGGAGGCACCTCCTGTTACCGCGGACTCGTGCTTGGTGCTTTTAACTACTAAACCTTCAACAGCAGTAGGCCTAGTCGCTACAGGTCACGTGACTCGTCACATGATCACCTTGGCTCCTCCTTCTTCCTGGCCCACCTCGTCTGGAGATCGTAACTTTTCTATTTATACTCTGAATGGTTGTCGCTGTCTTCTGTTTAAGTCACTTGTGATTGATTTTATGATAATTTAAAACCACAATTTTATTATTTTTATTCAACCGATGAATTTCTTTGAGTGATTTTGTTTGGGTAGCTGGATATTTGCAGTAGGGCCCTGTGTGCATGCCATTGTTGTGATAAGCTTGCCTTTCGTTCGGGTTCTCAGTGATTTGGTAAACGTCTCATTCACACTTGGACAGACGCTAGATTGATTTGTACAGCTGCTATTTTTCTTTCTTTCTTTCTGTAAATCTTTCTTTGTCTTTTCTTTCTTCTTTGCATAATCTTTCATTGTTGCAGCATGTTTTGTCGTAAGATCTCCGTTTCCCAAGGTAGTAAGAGATGTGGTTTGCCTGCATAGCTGTTCATGGCATGGTTATCACACGTATATATTTTAGAAAAGACAAATTTTAGTTTGTTTTAATTTATTTCAACTGGTTGTCAAATTTTTATTTTTGAAGTTGTTGTCAAAATGAAATCAGCAATTCACTTCAATATTTACATTACTGCTGGCTTTTAATTCCAAAAATTGATTGAACAATTTTAATTTACCATATTAATGTGATTAAGCAATAGTATATGCTTCATTGAGGAGCTATTAGATGAATCAACAGAAATAGATAATGTTGATCTGAATCATTTCTGACGATAAAGGTAACCGTTTGATCGCTTGCTCCACGGACATGTTGATAAACTGAATACCACATATGAATACACCAAGTAACAGTTGTTATACACAAATGTATATCACAAAGCTTTTCTACTCAATAATTGATTACTGTACTCTATTTTTTTGCATTTTTCCAAACTTGCTTTTATTTACTTTTACAAATACAGACAATTTCGCTGTTCTGTTTACAGAAGCAAATTTGGTCAAAGGTTTTGTTTATTCCAATGAATTACCATTTATTTTCAGTTGACCTGTTTATTTGTTAAGCCTGTTCTGATAAATATTTGTTACTTGACAGATTTTGTTTGTCTTGAAGGTAATTAAGAATGTGTCGCCACAAAAAAAAAAAAAAATCAATTGAAAGAGATTTTTAAAACTTTATTTTGTTCAATTTGCCCAAGTACATGTACTTCCATAGCATCTACAGCAGTCACTGAGATTAAACATTCTTGTTAACCGAAAATTTAACCGTCTTATTTGTGTATTGCTCAGTTTGAATACTCCAATACAGATAATAACATCGTTCAATTTCTTTAATCCTTTGTCCTTATACTGGATCAGGCATCCAGTGGACTTTTTGAAGTGTTGATAGTGTTATAAGGTTCTGAAATAGCAAAGAAGTACCAAAATAATACAACTATCTGGTATTTTTGTATGGACAAAAAGTTATAAAAATATATCCCTGGAGTGAAATATGGTGTAATTCTGTTGTCCAATCCAACACAGGACATAACTCTTGTCAACAGACATGATACGAAAATGTGTCAATTTTCACTCAGAATAAAACCTCTGTATTTCAATTTCATTATCATGTATGTTTGACATGCTGAAATCCATTTACCAAGATGTATTTGTTTCCCCTTGATGTTGGAGATTTTCTACCAAGAAGTCCAAAATGTACAATGTTTTGCTGATTTTAAACTGTATAAAATGTATAAACATTGAAGTAGAATTGAAAAGGAAAAGAAATTTTGATGAGTTTGTCTGTCCCAGAAAGAAAAGAAAGATCATAATTTTTTACCACAAGCATTGTATATATTTTTAATATGTAGTTGTGCTCGTTGTGACTTGCTGAAAATATAATGCCAACTTCTGCAGTCATGCTGTGTATTGTCATCTTGAAGTAGACATTTATTTACATAAAGTGTACTGACATCAGATTTACAACATTTCATCAGTGTTGACATTGAGAACAGGCTGAATCCCATCTTCTGTAGCTGATATTTAAGTTTTGACTTTTAATGAGAACTTCTGTGAACATGGTTGTACAGATGTTATGTGGTATATTGTTGGCGTTTGTTTTCTTTTACTTTGTGTCATAAAAAGGGTATTACCAAAATTTACTGCTGGAAATCTTTGCCATAATTTTATAAAAAAAAAACTGCATTAAGAGTGAAATGGGTTGCCAAATCCTAAATTAGCCAACTTCTTTTCCATATAAATCTCTCTTTTTTTTAAGCTATTGTAATATTTTGTTGTGTCAAAATTAAGCAGATTCACTTTAATTCATTACCCAGTATACTTTGCTGCGTATGTGACAAAACCCTAGAATTTGGTTATAATTCTGTAGGATGATAAGTTAACATAGATATAGTAGTTGATGTGTAGAATGTTAATTCATTCACCCCTGAAAACACATTTGAACTTTTCCAATTCAAAAGTTGGAATAGTTCATTATAAAAAATCAGGGGTTAAGGAAATGCATTTAATATTTATGCAACATTTACAATATCACAACAGTATCTTATAAAAAGTGCATTTCAATGAAAGTGACCAAGAAATGATCATCCGAGGATCATCCTAGGGTGGTGAAAGGTATTGAGGGACAAACAGTTATTTATAGAGGACACAGGTGAGACGCTACATCACAGGTGAGACATACTGACGAGCCATTTTGGCAGAAATAGGAAAGCGGTGCTTATGGTTGTGTTGAAGAAGGAGGTGCATAAATGATGGAATATATTTTAATGTCATGAAACCAAATGCAGTAAAAATGCAACTTATGTGATGGGAATTAGGTATGTATGGATGTCTGCTTGAACAACTTGTATTGAATGAGAAAATAGGCCGCATCAGTCGCTGTTATACAACAGGAATATTGTCTTCTGGAACTTTTTATATCATTTAGCTTTAAGTGTGGTCATCACTGTAAAACCCTGTATGTGTGAATCGTAGGAGTGTGGGTAGAATGTTTGGGGCGAGAGAGACATTTAAAAGGTTAATACATTGTGTGCTGACATGTCACCCAGGCTTCGAGTGGCACTTTCTGTCCAGTGTCTTCTGCTAAATGATTAGTCAATTCTTGTTTCAAATTCTCAAGATGATGTCAAATTGATGTCCCAATTTAATCATGTACTGACTTCAACATTTCTTGAGGTTTTATGTGGAGCTAAAATTTGATTTTGAATAATTAGTATGGAGTCCAAGTTTGGTCATATCATGGTGCTGCTTGGTTTCTCACAAGGGAGATAACTCTTTAACCAGAAAACTTTCTTTTCGTTTTGTGAAAAATGTTGTTTCCAATTTGTGCAATATTTTGTATATATGAATCAACTTTATACTGTACATCCTACCCTGTTTTAATCTATTTGATATAGATACTTTTTAATCAATGATGTATTTTTTCAGTGTGATTGGAATTTCATTTGGTATTTTGAAATGACACTGACCATATTTGTGTATATTTTATAATTTGTTTCTCTTTCATCTGTCAATTTTACTGAAATTTTAACTGATAGATTCAGTAATTTACATAATTTCAAAGTTTTATGAACAGTTAAGTTTTATTCAGGTGCTGAAACAATACCTTTAAATTTTCAGGTTTTTTGTGCCACCTAATTTTTGTTGAAATGGCTTTCCCTTGTATTTTAATACTTTAATGCAGCTTATGTAATACAGTTTTAACACTTAAATTCTACAAATGATCAACTGAATAGCATACATATCATTCAACCCTGAAATTTCATAATGAACTATTCCATGGAATTGGAAGAGTTCAAATGTGTCGTCAGGGGTAAATGAGTTAATGTCGCTTCTAAATGGATTAAAGTTGATTTTTATCCATCTATGATGAATTGGTAAATTTGACACAAATTCAAAGGTTGCTTGAAATGATGCCAGAACATTTCTCATCTTTGTCTGGATAAAGAAACAAGAAGTTCGGACTACAGTGATTGTGTCATTGCTTTACAAGTGAAAGTCATTTGCTTAAATGATGTTGTGTTCTCCGAGCCATGACCCTGTGTAAATGTTGTGTATAAATGATGGCATGGTCCCTTGTAAATGTTGTGTATAAATGATGGCATGGTCCCTTGTAAATGTTGTGTATAAATGAATTGTGTACATGTTATTTTGTGAGAAAGTCTGATTTACTGATGAAACGAGTGAAATGAAAAAACGAACACAAAGATAGGCATTGCTAAGGTTACACTAACTTCCTGTCAAACCGTCAAAATGAAAAAGACAGCGATGTGTATTGTAACTTGTTCTAAACCTAAGATTTTGAATATACATTTGTAACGAGTGTTCAGTAAACCAGACTGGAGATGACCTCTGATGTCATGTTTACAAATTGTGGTTGAGAGTTGTCTGCTCTTGTCCAAGCATCACCATGATTACTAGGTACTTGGTTGGCCCCCCCAGAAGATGTTTTGTACAGAATACTTGACGGTAGATGATTGTGTAAATGATATCGGTCTAGTGGGCCGAAATAAAAATGCCCAATATAAACTCCTTGTCTTGTTGTTTTATTTGCTATCAATACAGCTGATGGGGAGATGGAGACCAGACCCCGAATCATGAAGTGAACTTGATTGATAATTGTTTTTTTTTACGGTTCAGTGCCATATACAGTACCAGGACATTTTCGCTGCAGTTTGATTTTTCGCCTGTTTCGCCTTTCCCGATAAGGGCGAATTTGTCATTACCGCATATATAGATTAATAGCATGATATACATAATAATTAAATGTGAAGGGTGAAAATTGATTTCATGGTCGAATGGTAAATGTTTGGCTGGGCAAAAAATTCCCAATATACAGTACAAACAAATTATACATGTGTATATTGCACATATATGTATCATTTCACTAAACAATGAATGATAAAGAAAATTTTGTATTTTGAAATTTGGACATAAATCTGAAAGACTTTTCAAATCACTAGGACATGTCAGAATTTAAGCAGCTGTCAGAAGATTAAAATATTACAAAGGATCATTAGGGATACAACAAAAGTTTGTCGGTCACTTTACATGTCTTATTGTAACAGTGAAGAAATGTAGATGTTCTCATTATTCAGTTTATAAAGAGTGTAAAAGGAGGGAGCTTTATAGAAAAATCTAATAACCAGAAAGTTGAATGGCAAAATCCATCAGCAAAGTGATACAGACACCAAAACCTGTAGGAACAAAGCGATACTCAAACCAAAGTATGTAGAAGCAGAATGCTACATATCAGACCCTGTGTAACCAGAACTAAACATAACGAGCATGTCAAAACAAAACTAGACACATCAAAACTAAACAGAATGCTACATATCAGACCCTGTGTAACCAGAACTAAAAACAACGAGCATGTCAAAGCTAAACTAAACAGAATGCTACATATCATACCCTGTGTAACCAGAACTAAACACAACGAGAATGTCAAAACAAAAGTAGACACATCAAAACTAAACAGAATGCTACATATCATACCCTGTATAACCAGAACTAAACACAACGAGCATGTCAAAACAAAACTACACACCAAAACTAAACAGAATGCTACATATCATACCCAGTGTAACCAGAACTAAACATAACGAGCATGTCAAAACAAAACTAGACTAACCAAAACTAAACAGAATGCTACATATCATACCCTGTGTAACCAGAACTAAACACAACGAGCATGTCAAAACAAAAGTAGACACATCAAAACTAAACAGAATGCTACATATCATACCCTGTGTAACCAGAACTAAACACAACGAGCATGTCAAAACAAAACTACACACCAAAACTAAACAGAATGCTACATATCATACCCTCTGTAACCAGAACTAAACATAACGAGCATGTCAAAACAAAACTACACACCAAAACTAAACAGAATGCTACATATCATACCCAGTGTAACCAGAACTAAACATAACGAGCATGTCAAAACAAAACTAGACACACCAAAACTAAACAGAATGCTACATATCATACCCAGTGTAACCAGAACTAAACATAACGAGCATTTCAAAACAAAAGTAGACACACCAAAACTAAACAGAATGCTACATAGCATACCCTGTGTAACCAGAACTAAACATAACAGCATGTCAAAACAAAACAAGGCAGACTCATACACTCCAGAACCAGTTTATAATAACATACCAAAACCTGTCTGAACAGAATGATACACAACAGTTCTATATAACCATTTCGATGCATATATAACGTGTATCTGTTTGAACTATTTGGAATATGTGACGGAAAGTAGGAAAGTAGCTAGAAGAGTTGTTTTCTGAAAGTTATACAGAATAACTGTTCAGGTGTGATTGCTACTGTGTAATCCCATTGTATAAGAAATACGGTTGACACTTTTATAGCTGTGCTGGGTATACGTTGTCTGGCAGGTGGTATTTAGGGTCATAATATCTATTCATATTTATATATGGGCTATAAAATTCACAACAAACACCACTTTAACTACTGACTAACATCAATGAAATGGTAACAGTGATACTTGGACTGTAGTATGATAGTGCATCTCCTACAAACGGACTAGGTCGGAACTTCCTTTCCTGTTCATTTCATATTTCACCGGAAACAATGTGAAAGTATTGTACGTCATGTAGCAGAATAGACGTAACATACGTCATGTAGTACAATAGACGTATCATACGTCATGTAGCAGAATAGAGGTATTGTACGTCATGTAGCGGAAAAGACGTATCGTACGTCATGTAGAGGATAAGACGTATCGTACGTCATGTAGTACAATAGACGTATCGTACGTCGTGTAGTACAATAGAGGTATTGTACGTCATGTAGTACAATAGACGTACCGTACGTCAGGTAGCGGAATAGAGGTATCGTACGTCATGAAGAGGAATAGATTATCTTACGTCATGTAGCGGAATAGACGTATCGTACGTGATGTAGTACAATAGACGTATCGTACGTCGTGTAGTACAATAGAGGTATTGTACGTCATGTAGCGGAAAAGACGTATCGTACGTCATGTAGTCCAATAGACGTACCGTACGTCATGTAGTACAATAGACGTATCGTACGTCATGTAGCGGAATAGACGTATCGTACGTCATGAAGAGGAATAGACGTATCGTACGTCATGAAGAGGAATAGAGGTATCGTACGTCATGAAGAGGAATAGATTATCTTACGTCATGTAGCGGAATAGACGTATCGTCCCGGGAAAGAAAGGAGTGTAGGAAATTTCTTTCTCCCATTTCCCTGTGTGTAAGATAGAGCTGTCCAGGGTAAGAAAGGGTTGTAGGAAAGTTCTATCTTACACCCCATTTCACGTGACGTGACGTCACAACGGCTCAACAATGACGTGACGTCACGAATTTGGAACTCTCCGATGCCGCAATGCGGAAAAGGCGACGTGGTGAAATTAAAACCTTTTACTTTATGTAAACTGTACACGTTAGAAAGATGTGATTATTTTTTCTGGGCAAACGTTGTTTACAAATATTGGATATGCTCAATCTTGCTGGCTGATTCGTTTTCGTCTAAAAAGCTCAGGAAAAATTGGTATTTTCAAAATGGGGGCCAGTCCATATTCTGGTGGTTGGAATGAGAGAAAAATACTCTTTCATGCCCAAGGGGGTAGGATAGGGAAATTCCACCCAAATTTGGAAACCCCTCGGGTGGAATGTCCCTATCCTACACCCCTGGGCATGAAAGAGTCTTATACTCTTACGTCATGTAGCGGAATAGACGTATCGTACGTCATGTAGAGGAATAGACGGCAGTTACGATAACAACCAAAACAGTTATTATTAAACAATATACAGGACGGAATCCCAAAAATATTCACTGTACGATAAACTTACCACCAGTTCCTGGTATCAAACTCCTGAACTCGAAGACCACTTTAAGTTGAAATTCTGTTAAATTTCTCATTTCTTTTCCAATACATGTAATCTAATTTGAGATTTTCTTGAGTTTTATTAATGCATAATTATTTTACTTTTTCAATAACGAATTCTTTGAAATATACCTGAGAATTGATCACGTACTTAAAGTTAAGAAGTATTGTGATCTGGAGTCCAGATCAATGATACGTGTGAAGCTCCCTTTTTTATCGATATGAGAGAAAGCCTGTAGGCAACCTAACAAAACAGGACACAAAATGGATAATTCCATTTAAACCACTCTAAGTCTGTAATACAATAAAGTCGATATATGCTGCAATGTCTAGATTTGTAGTTTTTGTAAGAGACAAAATAACATAGATCCAAGTGCGTTCATAGCACGATAAACTGCATTCGCACATTGCACTGTCGGGGGTTGCGGATGATTTTGAGAGCAGGATCAAGTTTTGAATGACGAAATATTTTAATATTTAACGGGCATATTTTTAGAATTCTAAACTGTGCACAACCTCTTGCGGATGTTTCGCAGCGGTTTTGGCGTTTAAGCTCTTTACATTACCTTTTTGCATTTTCAAACACTTGAAAAAATTCGTTGTCATATCAACATAACTGCACTTGATAGTAAACGGGGAATTGTCAAAAGTGATGGAGATAACAACCGGAATCCCCCAGGGAAGCGTCTTAGGGCCGCCTCTTTTTGTAATTTATATCAACGATCTTCCGGAGTAGTAACACAACAGCGTGCTTGGTCGCAGACGATACCAACATTTATAACTATAAAGATAAAATATTTGACATAACTGCAAAATGTTTTAACCGAAATAGAAATATCAAGATCCGGGTTCGTTCTCCGGTGATCAAGCTCAACGTAACTTTCTTGTAATTTGCGTCAATTTATGTGACATAGTCACAACTTTTAGGTGACAATATTGAAAATAGATTCGGCTTTATATTTCCTCAATATTCCTTCAAGTCATGACGAAAAGACAGTTTAATATATAACCGGAACAAAAGTAGGTTTAAGAAAACATTCCGAGTTTTGGCTTGAGAACGGTTTCGTGAAAACGAGCCCAAGCTTCCGTGCCATTATCTCTGCCAGCCTCTTTGAGAAGCTCACTTCCGCGCGTGAGGGAAACATGCTTTCTTTCTCTGTCACGTGATTAATATAATCCAATAAGGCACGTTGTTATATAGATGAGGTCTAATAAAGTTGTCAGTTATAAAGAAATAGTGCCTGGCCCGACTAAGAAGTAACTGATGGCAAATATCTAGGCATAGAAACTGAAATTACAGCAATACCTCTTGTATGGTAATACTCTGGCTAGTCTTATATATATTAAAATAATAGAAATAACGCATTCCCTCTATATATCTCTGTAGACATATCAACAATGTATGACGTCACAATTTAAACAATTAAACAACGTCTCGTTCCGGAGCATTTCGGTGGAAAGCTTACCTGTATCGCATTGTAGGCTTACACTTGCGATGCTAGTGGCACATTAACCGGGAGTATCTATTCAGGAATTAAATTTCGAAGGGACGCTCCATTCCCTGGATTTCCTTTGTATCTTTGTAACTATAGCGCTAATTATACAACAATCTGACACCTAGCTACTGTGCACCTTTGCCAAATTCGTGGCCGGGGTCATGTCACGTGACAACACTGGCATTCAGCTTTGCACTCATTGTGGCATGCACTTTGTTAATTTGTATAGTTGTATTTGTAAAGTATGTATATATTCTTCTATTTGATTTGTTGGACAGTCGGTTTCGGAATCCTATACCATCTACGTGCTCTATAATACAACATCTGAAAAAAATCTTTCTTATCGTTATCATCTGTTTTCTGGAGACACCAGAAAAGTAAGAATTGTCTAAAGAACTACGCATTATACAGGGAACTCTGGGTAAAGCACACTTCATAAATACTACTGAAGTTTGTATGAAGCTACTGATAGCGTCATTATTGAGGAATATGTGCGTTAGACTTCAACCGGAACACTAAAAGATATTATGATCACCGTAAATTTCAACCCCATGATAAATCACAATTAAAAATCATCATGGAAAGATGTACATTGCATACATTGAACGTTAACCTAAGTAATTGATACAAACGACTTTACCTTAGTCTGTAATAAGGCATTTATAAATATTGTTTACCGAATTTATGATATGTCAATATTTTTCGTAACCAAACTGAATGCTACGATACGACGCGTTATACTTAGGTTGTGCAGAGCTTACTTTCTCTTTTATTAGCTGTTGAGAGACAAACTGTCCTCTAATCAAGATGGTTTGGGCCATAGTCGGACGCGACAATAATGGCCCATAACGTCATGGCAAGGCACACACCGCAGCTGTGTCATTTGAAAAGTCTAGGCATAGTTATCCTGAAACTCGACAACAATTAAGTGCTTTTGTTTTTTGAAACTCTACATATACGTTGAATTAATACGGAGACTCATTTACGCCGACCCCTAGATACATCTGTCAAAAACGCCCGTCACTTCTTCAATTAATAATAAACGTGGCGCATTAGTGTTTTACTGTCCTTTCCTCAGTAGTAACATACCAGTTTCTCCTATGCATGTCATGAGAGATCACTCTCCAAATATGTATGTAATATTATGTATTATATTTATGTATACCTATGGGTCGTAAGGCCCCCGGATTGAACATACCAGTTTCTCCTATTTATTGAGGTTCACGTTTAATAAGCTGAAAAACGAAACGGGATTAGATTATCTAAGTCCGCGATACCGACAAAGACAATCTAATTGATCGCATTGATTGGTACCCCACTAGGTGATTAGAACAAGGTAGCGGCGCAGCCAGGTGACCAAACTACCCTGACCTTTGACTTCTATTCAGTATGCCTCGGAAGATTCATATCGACCATAGATTAATAACTTGGAAGCCGACACAACCTGTACTACCCCGACGCACCTGGAAGACAAGGTAAGTTATTTTTCATTATAATTGGATGAAAAACAACATTTGATAAACCCAAATCACATTAGTTAATCCACATATTAATTTGAATATATTTCACTGGTAAACTGGAGAACTGCCTGATCTAACCGGGAGGAGAATCAGGTAATTGCAAAACATAATACGGAAGACAAGGAAACGCATAGGAATTATAGGCCAGTTTGACAATATTTTGTAAAAGGGTAATGGACCATCTTGGCGAAAAAAATCGTTTAAGTAAGCATCAATATGGATTCGTTAAAGAAAGGTCGACTATTTTACAGTTTCTAAAAGTCAATGATGACTGGACAGAAGCTAACGATCAGGGAGGATCAATCCAAAACGGGTTACTTACTCTTTATGACAGCGCTTGACACTGTCCCACGACTACGGCAGAATTTATCAAATGGGTTGAAAGTTTCATTACTACCCGGAAATAACGCGTAGCAGTAAACGAGGAATTGTCAAAATGGCGGGAGATAACAAGCGGAATCCCCCAGGGCAGCGTCTTAGGGCCGTCTCTTTTTGTAATTTATATCAACGATCTTCCGGAGTAGTAACACAACAGCGTACTTGGTCGCAGACGAGACCAACATTTATTACTATAACGATAACATTAATTTACAAGATGATCAAGATCAGCTTAACATTAGTCAGATAACCGGTTTTTGAAATTCCATCCGGACATATGCACAGTTTTGTACATAGGAAAGAAAACTAATAACTCGGCACTACGTTAATCGGGGACGCATTGGCGAACGTAACAAAAGGAAAAGGACCTTGGAATTATAACGGACAACAATCAAAATTTCATAGAAACACGATGCGATGAACGAAGCCAATATAGTAATGGAAACCGTCCTAAGAACTTACACATATCTAGATAATACAATATTCTGTCTTTTATACAATACACTTGTACATATGTAAGGCCACGTCTAGAATATACAAAACAATAAAAGAGTTAGAAAGTGTACAGGGTAGAGAAACGAAACAAATACAGGGAACGAAAAATCTAAGCTATGAAAACAGACTGGGGATACCGAAATTTTCAGTTTAAAATTACACTTGAAAGGCCACATCTTGAATATGGGGCCTGCGTATGGAACCCATATTTACAAAAGCTATGAAAACAGACTGAGGATACTAAAATCACTGGTCAAACTAACACATGAAAGATATAATAGAACTGTCACAGAGGGATTGTTTATTCACAACAATAACAAAAGATCAAGGGACACAGTCTATCATTGCTATAAAGAAGGAGTAGGCTGAACTTAAGGAGGGTTGCAACAGGATTGCTAACGCGAACATTGCTACACTGCAAAGCATATCAATTTCAATTATGCATTCGCCTTTCACCAAGATGGCCGGGGTTCGACTGCCCGATCGGCCGAAGAAAGGCATGGGGATATATATACCGACAAAGACAGTCTAGTATTATCGTATTGATAGGTACCCTGCTACGTGACTAGAGCACCCCAGTGATAGGCTGGATAAACAAGGTTGCGGCGCAACCAGGTGACATTAACTACCCTGACCTTTGACCTCTATTCATTATGTCTCGGAGGATTAATAACGACTATAAATTAATAAAATGGAAGCCGACAGAGCCAAAGCTATCTGGACGCACCCTGAAGGCAAAGTACGTAATATTTCATCAAATTTTAGGAGAAACAATTTTTGATTCATGCACGGATAACAGTATACAGGGAACAAATTACGAACAGCCACGTGCTGGGAAATATCTAGTCAAATAGAAGGTAAATATGGTATTTTTTCAACTAAACGAGAACACATATGTCCATGTAGATACCAACACGAAAATTGCTACACTGCAAAAATATCAATTGTAATGGAAATCAATTAAATTAATACATCGTGTCGTGTCTCGATGTTATTCAGTCAAAGGTGTCAATTATGTTGATAGAGAATTCTGATTGTTCATTAAAAAAATATATGAAAGTAAGAAATATATTCATTTTCATGTCTGTAAAAACGTACATTTTCGTTTATTCGGAATTCGTTAAAATATCAAACTGTTTTCGATTAAAACTGAAAAAATATGTGCTTATTTAGCATTAGATTATTTGAAAGAATCCAAATACCGAACGGAGTTGAAGCACTGAACTCAGGGGAGTCTTGTGATAGTTTTAAAGCAACGTATCACATGGCAAGATACGACGAAAATATATATAAAATTTTGCTAAAACTTTTATATATTATGAAAAACTTACTCTGAAGCTTAGATGACCTCGGTAATGTTTTCAAAATGTATTTTTTTTTTGTCCACCCGGCATAGTTGAGAGGAAATATATAAGGGATGAGACGGGATACCAATGTCAGTGAATATTCGACAGACCCGGGTAATGTTGTGGTGGTCAAATCATATCACCACAACAACGCCCCGAGGAAATAGTAACACCTCTTTTAAAAATGAATTTTTATGAAAACTAACTTCATTGTAGTAAGTTGTTGATTACATTCACGTAGATGTTTGTCAAAAAAGGTACGTCATGTTAACATTAAAATCACTTCAGAATAAAATAAATTTCAACATTATATATTGTAGGTATTTGTAAAGTTTTCACACACGTATTTATAGAGGCGTCACTCCCTTGTTTCATTGTTTCAGATGCGGACTCTGCCATGGCTGATGTCATTGATCGTATGTACCGTCACACAAGGTAAGTCCGCGCACACTGTCTCATAGGGCTGCATCGATATATCGTATCGTATCGTGATTCTTTCTTGTGTATCGTATCGAACATGTTTGCCTGTATCGTGATATAACTATCAGCACAGCTACTTAAATTATCAATCAATTTTTATCAAACTCTAAAAAGGTGTACTTCAGGGTTTTTTAATCCTTCATTCAGTAAAGATATTGTCCACTTTGCAGTTATACCGAAAAGTACTAGAAATTATACAAAAATGTATTTCGATAGTATTTACTATTGAAGTCTGTGACAAAACTTGATAAAATCCTACACCCTTCATTATGAGGTTGACCTATTAAGCAGATATTTGTATCGTGATACGTGTTGTATCGTAAGCATCATACGGCGATAGTCCATGGGGCGTAGCTGGGATATAAATCTCGTGTAGGCACTTGAACAATATCGGCTGATAAATGTGTATGTTTTTAGTTTCAAGAGAGCAGTTTTATAGTTTTAATAAAATCAATTGATAAGTAAGTATATCGGTGCGTTTTATAATTAAATATACAAATAATACGAAAATATATGCCAATTTCGAAATCCAATACAAACGAGGCAGGTCCGTATCCTTATCTAAATAAATGGACAGTCAGAAAGATTGTAATACAGAAGAGTGATTAGCTAGTATTTCGTCTTTTGAAAATTTGGTAAGGATATAGGTAGGGTTACTTTGGTAATCAAGTATGCTTAGTTCCTCTTGTTTTGCAAGCAGACAATGTAATAGTGTTTACAAAACAAGATTAGAATATAAGATGCTTTGTCTGCAGACACAAATACATGCCTATCGTGCAGATTGACTGTGGTTTGCACTTTGGGGTCACTTTGTCTTCAGGGTTTTAGTAAATAAACTGAAACCTTATGTGTGCCAAATCAGGGTAGAGTAGGGCATGAGAATTAAAGAATGACCTATTGCTTTGAGAAGCCTTGGAAGTCGAGACAGTTTCACTGCGCGGGGATCATCTGACTGGGTCTCAAAAGTTTTGATATTTAGAATATTCTGGACCTCGAACTTGTTCATCGTTGTGTTATTAGGCGTACTATTGTTTAATATAAGCTTGAAAGTTGTATTGCATTTATGTGCATTACAAGATCTTGTTCACTGAAAATAATCTAAAACATGATTTTCGTAGTTTGTACTAACCCTATACAAAATATACTGAATATAGTGTAATCTTCAATTTTAATGAAAACATAATTCAATTTTTGAATTAATATTGACTTAAAACAAACACTTGACAAAAGTATGTATAGGCACGTGCCTACCCGAGCCTAAGGCAGCTACGCTATGTATACGTACCGTATCGTGAGGTTTGCGTATCGTTGCAGCCCTACAATAGTGTCTTACCTTCTAAGGTAGAACGCACCATCTAGCAAGTAGACGCTACAGACGCATTATGCAAAAAATAAAATATTAACAATAGTGTGGTCATTTCTAGTTGTACTTATTTAAAACTGAATATTTCCACTATTTTGCCTTTTTGTACAGAACGACGCCATGATTGACATTATTGATAAAATTTACATGCATACTACATTTTCGACTGAAAAAGAAAATATATTAAATGTTCCTATGCTTGTTAAATATGGAATCGAGCTGTTACCTCAGTTTATACCTCTGTTTAACGGACTGATTAAGAATAGAATTATAAAGCTTGGATTTTGTAGTGGTCAATTCCGTGTGTAAATTTTGTTTCTGTCAATATCACTGGTTCTTTAAATATTTAACTAGTATGATCCCTGACCAACTGGACGGTGTTTATTTCCTATAGTTTGGATATAATTCCGTTGACTAGGTAGTCTCGTTCAACCAGACGCTTGCTCACTTAGCTTGCGCAGACAACAAGAGTCTGGTTGAACGAGACTATTGACTAGTAGCTTAGTCGGTTATAGCGATAGTATAACAATTTGGGGACCAGGGTTCGAATTCTAGCCATACTGAATGTCTACATTAGAAACTATTCTTGATTATATTTTGTTTATTTCATATTTCTCATAAAAGTCCCGGAAGGTATGATTTTCTTTTCAGAAATGATTAATCAAAGTTTTAGTCCTCCGGGAAAAACATCCATTTTTAGTACTAAGTTACAGATTTTGGCACTAAAGGATCCTTAAGGATTTCCTCTCCAACTGGACAATCGGAAACCGTCGGCACTTTCCGTAAACGAGAAAATACTCGTTTACGGAAAGTGCCGACGGTTCCCGATTGCCCACTGGATTGTGTTTTTATACATACAGTTACGTTCCCTTAAAGTCGTTTCGGATGTAACTGAGAACAGCTGAGACAGAACACTCCCTTTAGCTATGTAGCTTAGTCTTTTAGTGCAATCTGAAGTCTAGGGTTCGAACCCTGGTACAGTTTCGCTGTACTTTAACGCTCAGTGCAGTATTGTTGATTATAGGGTTGTCAACGATTAGCCGGTTAAACGGTTACTCAATCGGAAAAAAATGTTCGAGTAACCGTTAACCAAAATTTGACCTGTTTGACAACTAGTTGATTGTGATTTTTTTCCATCGGTATTATTTGTTCATAAAAGTAGCGGGCATGAAACCGTTCCCATGCTCAAGCATGGATTCTGTGCTCAAGCCTGCTTTCTTGTAACTCGTTTAAAATCATGTCAACGATCAAAAAGTCAATTACAGTATTCAGCTTCAATTTTTTTCCATATACCGGAACAAAAAGTTAGTCTTGTGCACAATATCAACGCTTGAGCATTAGAAAGGTTTCATGAATACGGGCCCCGGTATTTACAGTTTTCAGAAAGATTTTATCAAAGCTGAAAAACCCCGGTTTCCAGTGCCAAGTTAAGTTTTTGGCCGTGGTGCAGGGATCCTTAAGTTTCTCTATTCACACCATTTACCATTTTGTAATTTCAGACGCGGCCTATTGGAATACCCAGGCTCAGGAAACGCTGAAGAGAATGATGAACCAGAAACATAACACAAACGTCGCTAAGAACGTCATTCTGTTTCTCGGTGACGGGCTGGGGATTTCTACCGTGACCGCGTCCCGAATCTACAAGGGTCAACTACAAAGTCAGACAGGGGAGGAAACTGTGATGGCGTACGAGAAGTTCCCGTTCACAGGGCTCATCAAGGTATTGTTATAGTTATATCAACCTTAATACAAGAATAGGTTTCATAAAAGCCAATGTTCTGGCGTACACATGTATTACTAGTGGCGGAAGTTTACAAGATTAACAAAGGAAATGGGGCAAGAAGAGGTCACCTGGCTCTCAGATTGCACAGGGTTTGAGCCAGTGTGTAACTTGTCCGGTAGCTATCACCTAAGACGTTTCCGTACACTGATTTAATCTTATGTGGCGTATGACAAGCCAACGTGATATTTGAATATCATAAATAACTCTTTTTAACACAGGGTTGACTTTTTTTCCTTGAAGAAAGATACCATCCCACTACAGTTCTGGTATTTACTTGCGTCTTCTACCTCTCTACCTCCAGCAGACAGTCAACACACATAAATAATAATAAATAATAGCACATCTAATACGCAAAAGGACAACATCCAACAATGGTTGAAAGATCACAGGAAAAACTCGACAACGATTTGGACACGACACTTGAAACATCAATAGACAATGTGAAATAGGTAATAAATCATTGACAGTTACGACTTTCACAAAAAAGGAAGGATTTATGGCAATGGAGCTGAAGAGCACGAAACTGCACTTGTGAAAACATAAAGAAGGGAGAAAGAAATTAAAAAAAGACCGTGGAAGATGACTCACCGGTTCAAAAAGGCTGGAAAAAGAAAAAGGTCTATTTGAAGCAGTTAAAAGTCAATCATATACGAATAAAATAACCACGTTCAGGTTCTACTCATCAGGCACAGTTGTCTAGTGGTAGGACGCCGGGCTCGTGACCGAAGGGTTGCGGGTTCGAGTCACGTCACGGCACTGTGTTGTATCTTTGAGCAAGATACTTTACTCCGCTTGTTCCAGTCTATTCAGCTGTAAATGAGTGCGTGGTTGGGCAGTGCTAGAATTGTTGAGTGCTAGCTGTGAGCACTGAAATGGCAGCACCGGCTGTATGCTGAGAAAGATACTGGCTGGTTGCAAAAGCCCTATAACCACGGATAATAATTTGTTATTATTATTATATCTCATTATAATCATCAGTTCTAGAAACGCCAAGATACTACAAAACCTATAATTATGCACATTCGCTAGTCAAGTGTTCGCTTCGTATACACTCCACTTACCCTTGGCGGATACAGTCGTGTCCTCATAATTCCCTCCACTGCCACTTAGCGGATATACCGAGTTCTACCACAATACGCTGTGTTATTCCACTCTCAAATCATTGTATATACATGCAGACTGTTGAATGAATATGAGTTATACACCACACATGGTATATGACCTTCCGTAGTTTTGATTGGTCGAGAAGATAAACCTTGACCGTCGACTTTTTTCACGCGCTTTTTGCCGCGTGCTGTTTTGTTAACGTCGTCTGCTGTCAACATCCGACAAATGTTGGTGACTTTTGTGAGGTTATGCGATGGGTAAAGGGGGTTATTAAGGCAATACCAAAAGAAGATGATGCTTACAGATTTGATCGCTAGTTTCAGGCAAAATTGCTACAGACGCTCGATATCGTTTCGACGCCATACCGTCGCGTGTCCAGGTCGTGAATCCCAGAGACGTATGTCTCTGTGAAACCCAAACAAGGTCTGTAACAGTGTCGGAAAATATTTCGTTCTCCCCATGTCCCGTTATCAATATTTGAAGGGCCTGTCTATGGCGGAACTCTCACTATAAACGTCAACCATAGAACCTCACGAAGAAACGTCACAGGCCTATGGTTTTGGACATTGACAGCGATTAGTTCGTCTTCATCACTACGCGGGAGGCAGCCTACATACGATATGCTTACGCGCATATAGTCCGTAGTTTATTTATATCATTTAATGCAATATTACATACTCTCAATATATAAAGTCGTTCAGTGCCGAAACATCAATTTTGAAAATTATTAAATTTGTAAAGAATGAAAGTCATTTTTGAATATTAATGAGTGATTTTTTACATATGGGTCATATCACTACGCCAACCTTGTCAACAAAATGTGTGTATGCTATTCAAATCAGGAAATACTAGCTGTTTTCGACTGAGATTGTGGTAGAAACAGATCACACGACTCGTGGTTATTGAGTATGGTATTTATATCACTCTCGTTAGTTAGTTTTCGTGTCTTTTGTAACTTTTGAAAATTAACTAACTCGAGTGAAATAAATACCATATTCAACAACCACTCGTTGTGTAACCTCTATTTATCGCTCTCCTCCCAAAAAACCTTTTAACCAATCGGAATGACCGTTACATACACACTCCATCGGCGTGTTGACATTAAGCACGTGTATGTCGAGCAGAGTATAAATGACAGAGCAATATGGAAACAATCCAAAGGCAGCACACATTTCCCCCCAAGTCATCATTTACATGTGGCTCGTAGTTTAGGATTTCCCAAAGATCGTGCGCCTATTTTTATGGGCAAAACACTCTGACATATACTACGACGTGCTTCCGTAAAGGGCGCCACCATTATTGTTTTCCTTCGTCAACAACGCTATATGTAAGACGCAATGTCATTGGATGCGAGCGATTGGCACCGCAAGAAAATTTGAAGGCTCTGTAAACACGGCTATATCCGCCAAGGGTAAGTAGAGTGTATACGAAGCGAACACATGGCTAGAGAAGATGACAATTATGGTGCTTTCTGATGTCTGTTCTGAGACAGTTGGTCCGTCAGTCCTTCGGGTTATAATACAAGATTGGGATGTAGAAGGACTCACACAACTAAATCACTTACTATATGTTATTACCAAACATTTTAGCTTATTACTTTAATATTTGAAGTTCAAAACCAGTGACAACTGTCTAGATTCATAAATACATACCTTGCAAAGGCTACACAATGTCTTTTTTGGTAGGTTTAGTGGCATATTGGAGTATCACAGCGTCAAAACAGAAACGCCCCCAGACATTTTGCCCCTGTGAAAATCCGCACACAGACATGGAAATATATCAAAAGTATACATTTTTCAAAAGTTAAATGCCTGAACATTTCATTTATCTAAACATCTGTCATCAGTCCCTCATCAAACTCCTTCAGTGGCCAAGTAATTAGCCGGAACCTATTTTAGATAGGAACTACAAACTGATTTAGTTGTGAGGGTCCTAGAAGGACTAGAGATGAACAGAAGCAAGCTCTTTCGTAGACGGCTTGGTATCCCGACATGTTTCTTCAACATGGGTCCTAAACAAAACAAATCTGTTTGGTAATTAAAGGTTCGGGCAGCTAGATTTATCATGACTTTGAAAGACCCAAAAGAGAAGAGTCAGAAACGCTGGGATACAACGTACAGGTATGGACAAGACGGAAATGACAGTCACAAATTCAGTTGCGGATTTTGAATACAATCAGTCGGGCGTTGTAGTAACTATGCGCTGGGCACAAGTTAGGAACAACAAAGAGTTACAATTAAAATCGGATGGCGTAACAGCATCCTCGATACTCCAGGGGTAACTTTCGCTCTCTGCACCCCTGGAATATTTCAAAGCAAAATCGAAGACTTAGTGTGCACCACCTTGTGGATGAGACGAGGAGACTAGATTGATCTTTTGATCTACATCAAAAGTATCCCGCGGTCGCGTAACGGTTAAATGTGCTGGCTTTGAAGTCGAGTGTCGCTCCTCTGTTATCTTCAAAGGACAGATATCAGCCTGGCGATTGGTCAGGTTTTTTTTTTACCCGAGACCAATCAAATAGCTAGCCGTATGCCTTCAATTTTGCTATGACATATTTCAGGGATGCAGAGAGCGAAAGTGAACGTAACCCCTGAAGTATCAGAGGATGACGTAACAGAAAGAGTGTTGCTTATGCAAAGTGAAAGTAGAAACCAGGAGGAGAAGCAAAGGGAAAATGGGACTGTGACGACGGGCTGGAAAGGCACACGACCAGGGCAGATACAGAGGTGCAAAGGCTCACGCGGAGATATATCTGGCGAAATTCACTGTCACAGCTTAAGTTATGGACAGATCTCTGGTTATGTTCACTGTCAAAGTTACAGTCTTGGGGTCTACTATCAATATAATCTGGCACCATTACCGACGACTCTCCAATAATGGAGATAATTATCACACATCTGTGTAAATTGTGTGTAAAACATGGCTTTATACGGCTCACGCACTTTTGCCATGCTAAACATAACTTACTCGATGCCAGTGTTCCCGAATGCCTGATCATGAGTAGAGGAACAAACACTTTTATCGGGTGAAAGATGGTCACAAGATGTACGAAAGTTGACATCTAGGTTCTGACAGAAAAACGGATGATTGAGTTGGATCTGAACGATGTAGTACAAACGCTGATATTGCATTATGTTGGCGTAGGAATGAGACACTTGTGGTCGTTGAGATGATAGTGGTTTGGGAAGACCTTTGTGTACATGATAAGGAGAGGAAAGGGGTGACCGCAGTCATCATTGGCGGAGAGCATCAAATTCCATATGCCTGTGGATGTAGTATGTATGGGACTTCCGGCACAATCTGTCTCGAAGAAATTCAGTTTGTTGTAAGTTGGATGATGCAAAGAAGGACTAATACCCATCCATCTAGTATAGGATGAATGGGGAAAGCTGTATTGGAAAGCCAACCACCGAAGCACAGTGAGTGAACGCCACTTTGGACCCCTATCCAGAGTGTTCTGATCTAGGGATTGAAACATACGATAAGGATGGACTCGGCCGACGACACGCTGGTACCAGTGTCAATATCATTACCATTGTAAGCTGTTTCCGTCTTTGCGTACTGCAGAGTTATCTTCTCTTGAGAGCAGGCATTTATTGCTACGTCATTTGTTTTTGAGAGTAACGTCATAAATTTATGAGAAAACGACGTAATTTTCTCACACAAACCAATGACGTAACAATCAATACCTGCTCTCAAGAGAAGATAACTCTGCAATATGCAAAGACGGAATATGATGGTTTAAATGCGGGAATATTTGGTTCATTAAACACGTTGCCAAATAAATTCTTATTTGCGGTTCTTCTTGTGATGAAGCTGTTTATTACTAGTAGCCCATGTGGTTTATGACTTCGCATTTTTATGCAACCATGCAACAAATAATCCAATGCTTCCTCCTGAATTAAATGTATTGGGTTTATTTTCCTATTGGACCACATTGTGGTGCTAAAGAAACCATTGTGCAGGTTTTTGGGGTTGTCATTGTTGAAAATCACATGTTTATTTGAGCTAAGAAGGTAATATCATTCCATGTGTTGCGATGTCCCGCCGGAGAATTAAGATGGCTATCTTGTAGTTGAATTTCACATAAGCAATGAACAATTTTGATTTTCATCCAATGATATACATAATATTAAATTGACGGGATATTTTACTAGAGTCTAGTTTGATGGAGTACCGATAAGAAAGGTTTTACTTGCAGACATACAACACCGACCAACAGGTTCCTGACTCGGCTGGTACGGCTACGGCCTTTCTATGCGGGGTCAAGGCAAAGGCTGGCACGGTTGGGCTAGACGATAGCGCCATTCACAGCAACTGTGCGTCACAACACGGGACGGAAGTGAAGTCAATTCTAGACTGGAGTAAAAATGAAGGTATGCTAATTTCTGAGAGCGTTGTGATGTTCTTTATAGTTTTGTTTCGTAACATCGTATGACTATTTCTCTACTGATACATCTTCTCTATAAACGTTCTGCTTACACAGGTAAATCTACAGGAATTGTGACCACCACTCGTGTGACGCACGCGACACCGGCTGCCTCATATGCGCATGCGGCAGATCGCGGGTGGGAGGGGGACACAGAACTTCAGGTTGAGGAGATCGAAGGGGGTTGTCGAGACATTGCCTACCAGCTCATTATGAACAACAGCGACGTCAACGTAAGCATGGGTCTACTTAATTAATTATCTGTGGGAAAAGACAACTCTACTTATCAGGAGTGGTTACCGTGTGAAGTTAGGAATGCTTTTGTTCCCAACGGTTATTGTTCTTTTTTGCGTTGTAAATGGTTTTTATTCCATAGCGGAGTGTCATTTTACATTATCGGATGCTTCACAAAATATTTGCTGTGATTTACCATGTGTTTTTGTAATGGTACTCTCTCTCTCTCTCTGTCAGGTAATCCTAGGAGGTGGGAGGCGCTACTTCTTGTCCATCAACAAGACAGATCCCGAGCTGAATGAGACAACTCGGTCCCAGAGAGGGGATCTCGATCTCATCGATGTAAGTGTTATAAGTCACTGAGGTTGTATTGTCAAGACTAGTTGGCCCCTGTGTACACAGGGCATTGTATCCAATTCCTTCATAGATAACATATAAGATAATGATGTATATGGTTATCCCCCAGAATTGAAACCATGAAATTTTAAAACTGCTCTGTTAAAGTGTTTCAGAAAACGACAAAAGATCTCTAAGTGGAAACACACTGGAAGACCTACTGGTATATTTTTGCAAATCGGGTAATATCAATGGTGTGAAAAAGGTCTAAATAGTATTAAATAGGACATATAGTCCACTAATTTACACACTCTTTGTGGTCCCTCTAGAGTTTGTCTATCACAGGTGATCAGGTTTACATCCAGGAGAATAATACCTGTACCAGGTAGATATCAACATCAGGACCATGTGTCCTCATTCCATAGTATGCGGATAACTTAGGTTTGTAATGCTTTAAATGAATCTTAATTTCTTGTAAGAGACAAAGTGTGCGAACATCGGTACACATTTTCCCATCAGAGTTTACCAATAACAAGGATCTTTAATCAATTTAGATATCGGCAAGGAGAAAAATACCTGTTGTATGATATGTAGTTGCAATTTGTGTCGCCATCCTGAGGTCAATCGTTTAAACGTTCTGTAAGGTTTTAAAAGCTCGAACTTAACCTTCAGAGAAGCAAAAAGTCACTTTAGAACCTTGAAAATGAGTCACCATTATATTTACCTCCCACCAAAATCCTTCATCTCTCTCAAATTAGTTCTCCACACGTTGTAACATTCTGAACAGACACGAAGGCCTCGGTATAAACGACATAGACCCTGAACAAGGCATCACAGGGGAAACCAATTAAACGTATTATTCAGTTTTAAATCTAGCTGATATATCACCATATCCGTTATGTACTGTCGTAGTTAGGATTCCTGTGTTAGAATGTACACTCCTTCCTCTCTATCAAATTCCCTCTTGAGATGTTTTGCTATATTTGTGACCGTTATCTTGGCATAAAATAAAATCATTCAAAAATATTCCATAATTGGAAGCGGGTGCGACATTCCGTTTGAAAAAAAATCCTGGATCGGCGTCTGGTAGTCATAATAGCATGCGTGTGTTGTAGGAATGGACACAGGACAAGGTAGACCGGAACAGTAGTCATAGTTACGTATGGAACAACGCCCAGTTTGCCAACGTAGACCCGGACAAAACGGATCACCTTCTTGGTCAGTGTGACACAAAAGGCTAAATCGGACATTGCATGTCAAATCTTTAACTCGTTATTTAAAACAAAATTTCACTGATTTATTTGATTCGACAACATAATTTCTTTTATTCAAATATTTTGTTTCAGGTTTGTTTGAATCTTCACACATGCAATATGAGCATTCGCGAAACAAGGGACCGGACGGAGAACCCTCTCTGGCGGAAATGACACAAAAGGCCATACAAGTCCTTGACAATAATCCTATGGGATTCTTTCTATTGGTTGAAGGTTGGTTGATTTAGTTTGGGGCTTGAGCCAAGAGCATTTGACGACGTTTGATAAAATCTCTTTTCGTTTATTGGTAGAAATGTGTTGTGGAAATGTACGCCCGTCTGATTGGTAAAACATTCTTTGAATGCTTGATTGGTAATAATGTTCCCTTCTGATTGTTAGTTTATTTTCTCCTTTCTGATTGGTAGTTTATTTTCTCCTTTCTGATTGGTAGATATTTTCTTTATTCTCATTGGTAGAACATTTGCTCTTCTCTGATTAGTATATTTTCTCCTTTCTGATTGGTAGAATTTCTGCTCATTTCTATCTGGAAGAATATATGTTTTATCTGTCTGGAAGAAAATATGGGTCTACTAGGTCGGTTGAAAACAAAAGTCTGATTGTAGATGGTATGCTTCCGAGTGAAAGAGGATGTACTTTTCTCTGACCAATAGGCGGTATGCTCCTCTCTGGTTGGTAGAATATATAGAGTGCATTTCTATTTGATTTTTTTAGAAGATCTGTATATATACATTGAAGTTGGTTTAATGTTTTGGATAGGCCCCGTTGTATAGCATAATATATTTCGTCGTTCCTGCGCCACGAATTCATTTCAAAATCGGTGCGTGAAAGTGAGGTTTCTTTTTTGCCTCAAAAGTGTCGACGAAATGCATTTGTATCACAACCCACTCACTAGAACAGTAAATATTAGCAAGGACTTAGATCCGGTCTAATTCCGTGATATTAGCGATGTTCGATTAAAACAGTGAATTTCATATAAAACGTCGGAAACAAATGCACTTAAATGACATTAAGTTCAGTCTTAGAAACCTTACAAAGGATAATATGTTTTAGTAGCATGTGTCCCCTTTCAGATGTTTATTTTGAATGTCGCAAACATGCAGATTTGAACTGCATTTGAATTACATACATTATCAAGAAAACGCGTTTTGTTTCTTAATTTTCTGTATATAAATACAACCATCGTAAATTTAAATTCCTGACGGTATTTAATTAAAAACGATATGAGTATTACGTTAAATTTACCTTAACGGTCATAAAACCATATTACCTTCAAAGATTATGACATGGAAACTCGGAAAAGAGAACGACGGCATCCTCTGTATGTGTTTTCAATCTACTATGAATGTCAATCATAAACAAAATGTGTCCTCCTATTCCGTCTTTGCGTATTGCAGAGTTATCTTCTCTTGGGAGCAGGAATTGATTGTTACGTCACTTGTTTGTGAGAGTTACGTCATCAATTTTTGAGAAAACGACGTAATTTGCTCCCAAGTGAAGATAACTCTGCAATACGCAAAGACGGAATATCAGTATTGATTGGTCTGCTAGACTGGCACATTATGACTAATATTCAGACTGCTATTGCAGGGGGAAGAATAGACCACGCCCACCACGCTACGTATGGCCGGCGAGCGCTACACGAGACCGTTGCTTTCGAAGAGGCGGTACAGATGGCGCTGAATCTAACCAATGATGAGGAGACATTAGTTGTCGTCACAGCCGATCACTCTCACGTGTTCATGGCTGGTGGCTACCCGAGCCGAGGCAACAGTATTCTCGGTAATGTAGTTAAAATGGAAAATTAAATGATGAATGAAAACAGGTTCACCTGAAAATTGGCAATATTAATCGAAAACTCTCTATTCAGACCTGAAAATGGCCAATGTTAATCGAAAATTAAATTTTCATGTGATAGATATTCACTTGATGAAGATAAGCTGAAGAGCTTTTTTTAAGTTTTTAATTTTACTATAATTTTATATATCTATATGTATGATTTCAGATTTTCATACTTTACATTTTAATTAAGTTAGTGAAGTAGATGTCGTCTGATGTATTTTTCACATCTGTTGTTTCGTTGTTACTCAAGGTCTAGTGAACGATGAAATGGGTGACGATACGATGCCATATACTTCACTAGTGTATGGTAATGGTCCCGTGGGACGGGAAAACCTCACCAATATAGATACAGGTACGTAAATGGTCCCGTGGGACGGGAAAACGTCACCGATATAGATACAGGTACGCCAATGGTTCCGTATAACGGGAAACCCTCTATAATCTAGATATAGGTACGTCAATGGTCCCGTGTGACGGGAAAGCTTCACCGATATAGATACAGGTACGTCAATGGTCCCGTGGGACGGGAAAACCTCATCGATAAAGATACAGGCATTTTTGATGGTCCCGTGGGACGAGAAAAAACAACCCACCGATATAAATATATAAATACAGGTACGTCCATTGTTAATGGTTATGGTCCCGTGGGACGGGAAAACCAAGGGTTTAGATCGTCTTTCGGTAAAAATAATTGTAACATATTATCAATGGGGATGTTATGTTTACCGAAAGTCGATCTAAAGCTCTAAAACATGTAAATTTACCCTGAACACCTTAGTTTAAGTCCAAATATAGCTGTAACAAATTATCAGGTCCCTGTGACGTCAACGGTCCCGTGGGACGGGGAAACTCTCCGATATAGATCAACTTGCATTGAGTATAGCGACGATCCAGCGTGACGGATGCTCCACATAGATACAATAAGGTCAGAACCAATCCCTTGTTTCACTTGATTCAATACGTATTCTAATTTATACAATCAAAATATTTCGGTTCCTAGCACTGCTGACGAGATAATAATAATCGAAAACTGTTTGGATCAGTTAAGGATACTCATACCACTGTCAAAAACTGTATGATGAACTTGAATCGGTTACTCCGGCATTACTATATCTTTGACAAATCAATTCTGACAAGAAAACCAAAGCTTACGAAAGTTAAAAAAAAAACCACGAAATATATGAATTAAAGCGAATAAACAACAATGATCTGAGTTTAAAAATGAAACGAACCAGATTAGGATTCCAGTCGACCTCCGAATTCTGTCTTTGCGTATTGCAGAGTTATCTGCTCTTGTGGGCAGGTATTGATTGTTACGTCATTTGTTTGTGAGAGTAACGTCATCAATTTTTGAGAAAACGACGTAATTTTCTCGCACAAACCAATGACGTAACAATCGATACCTGCTAACAAGAGAAGATAACTCTGCAATACGCAAAGACGGAATATGTGAACTGAACTACCTGTACCGAGAGTACTCTTATCCAGTTGCGCTTTAGATATATCTAAAAGGAAATAACAGGAGGTTACAGTATGTGTACCAACAAACTAAGGTATAATTCTCTAGTGTTTAGCCAGCAGTTGGATAGGGATAATTAAGAAATAATGTTCCTTGTGGTCGAGAGGAATAAATCTGTCAAATGTTCAAATCCTTAGAATATCCAACTAGTAGTGAAGAAAAGACGAGAGATCAACGCCCCCTGACATTGTTTACTGTTGGTAGTGACTTGAACAGTGGCCAGTTAAAGGGATATATACTGTCTTTCCGTATTGTGTACTTTTATATATTTCAGCCGACTTCGACTACAAGCAAGGTAGTGCTGTCCCTTTGTCATCAGAGACGCATGCGGGAGAGGATGTTCCGGTTTACGCCAATGGACCAATGGCGCACCTCCTTACCGGAACACACGAACAAAACTATATTGCGCATGTAATGGCATATGCCTCGTGCGTTGGACTTAACAAAGATCATTGCACACAACTTCCTTCTGGTACACCCACTTCCGGTTCAAGCGGAGTACTTCCGGGTTCTCTGATTTTCACTCAGTGCTGTTTGTTCTTTTTGTTTTACGCTTGATTTTTACGTAAGATGAGAAAGTACTATCATCTAGT